ATGGTAAGGAACAGAGGAAGGAAGGAGAAGATTGGGCTCCTCTGCCTCCAGAATACATTCATGCTCTTGATGTTATCTTGAGGGAGAATCCAATGGAGAAGTGTACATCTATTGGAAGATCGTTTTACTCGAGTTCTATGGGTGGATCCAAGGAGATTGGAGGAGGAGCTGTTGGACTCAGAGGGTTTTTCCAGAGTCTTAGACATACTCAACAAGGTTTAGCCCTCAACATGGATCTCTCAATCACAGCTTTCCATGAAAGCATTGGAGTAATAGCTTACTTGCAGAAGCGGCTAGAGTTTCTCAAGGACCTTCCTAGGAACAAAGGTAGAGAACTGAGCCTGGAGGAAAAGAGAGAAGTGGAGAAAGCACTTAAGAACATAAGAGTCTTTGTTTGCCATAGAGAAACTGTTCAGAGGTATCGGGTTTACGGGTTAACAGAGGAGATTACCGAGAATCTATGGTTTCCTGATAGAGATGGGAAGCATTTAAGGCTTATGAGCTACTTTAAAGATCATTATGGTTATGAGATTCAGTATAAAAATTTGCCGTGTCTGCAGATCAGTAGGGCAAGACCTTGTTACCTTCCTATGGAACTATGTATGATCTGTGAAGGTCAAAAGTTTCTTGGGAAGCTTTCAGATGATCAAGCTGCAAAGATCATGAAAATGGGCTGCCAAAAACCAAATGAAAGGAAAGCTATCATAGATAACGTTATGGCAGGATCGGTTGGTCCATCAAGGTAAATTTAGTTCATCTGAGTATCTGTATTCGAGTACTAAAACATCTAAAAGGTTTTAATCTTTTGTTTCTTCGATTTGACAGCGGAAACCAAACAAGAGAATTCAACCTTGAAGTTTCAAAAGAAATGACGTTGCTGAAAGGAAGAATACTTCTGCCTCCAAAGCTTAAACTTGACCGGCCAAAGAACCTTAAAGAGAGTAGAGTTCTTAAAGGAACCCGAATCGAGAGATGGGCTTTGATGAGTATTGGAGGCAGCTCGGATCAGAAATGTACCATTCCCAAGTTCATAAACGAGCTCACTCAAAAGTGTGAGCATTTGGGAGTCTTCCTAAGCAAGAACACAATAAGCAGCACCTTCTTTGAACCATCACACATACTCAACAACATTTCACTTCTCGAGTCAAAACTGAAGGAGATTCAAAGAGCCGCATCTAACAATCTCCAGCTGCTTATCTGTGTGATGGAGAAGAAACACAAAGGGTACGGAGACCTAAAAAGGATAGCAGAGACAAGAATTGGCGTTGTGACGCAATGCTGCTTATACCCTAACATCACAAAGCTCAGTTCTCAGTTCGTTTCAAACTTGGCTCTCAAGATTAACGCCAAGATTGGTGGATCCATGACTGAGCTCTACAACTCGATACCTTCTCACATCCCAAGATTGCTTAGACATGATGAGCCTGTGATCTTCATGGGAGCTGATGTAACGCATCCTCATCCGTTTGATGATTGTAGCCCTTCAGTAGCGGCTGTGGTCGGGAGCATAAACTGGCCTGAAGCTAACAGATACGTTTCAAGAATGAGGTCTCAGACTCATAGGCAAGAGATCATTCAAGATCTTGACTTGATGGTCAAGGAACTTCTTGATGATTTCTACAAAGCAGTTAACAAGCTTCCTAATCGGATCATATTCTTCAGAGACGGTGTGAGCGAGACACAGTTCAAGAAAGTCCTTCAAGAAGAGCTCCAATCCATCAAAGCCGCTTGTTCTAAGTTCCAAGACTACAATCCGAGCATCACATTCGCCGTGGTCCAAAAAAGACACCACACGAGACTGTTCAGATGCGAGCCAGACAGTGAGAACATCCCTCCAGGAACAGTAGTCGATACAGTGATAACTCATCCGAATGAGTTTGATTTCTACCTCTGTAGCCATTTGGGAGTGAAGGGCACGAGCAGGCCAACGCATTACCACATCCTATGGGACGAAAACAAGTTTACTTCAGACGAGTTGCAAAGACTCGTGTACAACTTATGTCACACTTTCGTGAGGTGCACGAAACCTATATCGATTGTACCACCGGCTTATTATGCTCACCTTGCAGCGTACAGAGGAAGGCTATACATAGAGAGATCATCTGAATCTATGAATCATCATCATCCTTCCTCTGTGTCTCGAGTTGGTCCTCCAAAGACTATTCCTCTCCCTAAACTAAGTGATAATGTCAAGAATCTCATGTTTTACTGCTGATTCTTTAATCTCACTTTTTTTTGTTTAATTCTTCACGTATAGTATAGTGCTACAGTCCAAATTCATCAGCCATCACGTATTCATATTGTGATGTGCGTAACACCAAAGCCACCGCCAATTATTGAACATGGGAAAGTCCAAAACATTTGTTTCTTTCTGAATGCGTGAAGTTGATGATTTGTGTTTCTACAATCACAACCACAAAAACATTATGAATATTCAGTTTTTTTTTTTTTTTTGTTGGTAAGATTTTAATAATTTCGGAGAAGGGAAACATATCATTAACATATTTAACTATAGTGACCCAAAACTTCAATCACACATTTCAATATCATCACATCAAAGGCAAAACTTTCAACCAAGCACTCTAAAAAAAAACTAAAAGAGTTTATAGTAGGGACTACTACAAAGTTTGCTAATGTTAAATTCAAATTGTCATTATGATATAAAGAAAGAAAAAAAAATAACTATTGAATGGGAATGGGAACAATATTTGACAATATCAGTGTGAAGAGGTTTTAATGCATATAGCTGGAAGAAATAAATCAATGAATAAAGATTTGGGAGTTTGGAAAGGTGAAAGTCCCAAAACAAGAGAAAAGACAAAAGAGAGAAAAAGGAGAGAAAAGAAATGAATAGTTTGCAGGTTGGAAGAAAGTGTGTGTAGTTAATGAAATTGTGCAGAGTGTTTGCAGCTACTCCTCATTTTTTACATATATTCTCACATTTATATATTTTTATGTGTTGTTATTTATATTTCATCAAAATAATTGGATAAGAGACAGAATGAATGATTTTTAATAACAAAATGAATAAAAATAAATAAAGAGGAGAGGGTACAAAAAGAGTAATATGTGTTTTGTTTTGTGAGTTGTCACAAAATATATGAAAAGGTGAAAAAGAATTTATGAAAATAAGTGTTTTTCTTTTACATCTTTTTGCAGTACTTCTCGGGAACCCAAATTCTCCAGAGAAGTGATAGACACAACTTGTACCCAACCCAATCTGTCTCTATTCTCTCTTCTTCTTCTTTTCTTTTTTTTCTTTAAAATTAAAAAAAAAAACATTATTTGGTAGTATTATTTGTCTATATATTTTGAAGAAACTTATGTCTATATATCTATAAAAAAACTATACTTGTAAAATTTAGCATTGAGGTGTTTACTTGCTTGCTCTATCTCCCATGCTAATAAATGAAGTTCCTTTACGTTATTTGGTAGTATTCTTTACAATGTTCTTCTACAAAAGTTTTGAAGTTAAGACAAAATTATAAGACATATCTCGAATGAACTGTCTATATGAGTTGTCAAGTTCGTGTCTTTGTCTGTGCAGGTACGTTTTTGACAAACGTCTCTCTCTCTCTCTGTGTTAACCACTTTGGATTCATTTCCAACAGTTGAGAACAAAAGGCTATTGCAGAATATATAATACACGGTAGCTTTTAGCCTCCATCAGTCCAACGTACTACCTAGCTATATAATGAATTTATTTTTTGCTCTGTTACTGTTGAGTAGTACAAAGAAGAAATACGTAAAAAAGATTGATAGTTTTTGTGGCAGAGAAACAGAAACATTGCATGTATTATAGGCCTATAAGAGTGTTGTTAGTCCGATGGGCCAATGGGCTGCAACCTGCAGATTATACATTTTCTATCAATTTCCTATTATAATTATAAATGACTTTTAGTTTGTTTCGTTTGTTTTAAGTATATTATAAATCATTCTTCTTCTTTTTTGTTTTCTTTTGTTTCAAGTATATATTCTATAAGATATATATGTTAACAGTACTCCTATTAGATCCTCGTATGTAGTCTAAATATTACTACATTGAATTTTTGTTTGAGGCATCCCTATTTTTAAGTAACTTTACAATAGCATATCAATAGTTTTCTTTTTGTTTGAAGCTTTATGTTATTTTGCTTCTTGTTTTTTCGTATGTATTTCAATCTTGAAATCTATCATATTTGAACAAAGTATATGAATAAATGTTCAAAGTAACAATTGTTTTGGAATGTACTAGTTATGTTCTTGTAAGAAATATATATTGAGAAATATATAAGGGGAATTGCCATGGTTGTTAATGAAGAATAAATTAGATCATAAATTTTACATGACTTAATAGAATACTAGAGAAGATTTGTTATAATTAAGAAAATCAATTTTTTTTTAGTGCATTAGATTGTAGTACATATGTCCATGACTGGAATTAAAAAAAAATTGAAAAGTTAAAAATAAATTCTCTTACTAGACACTATCACTTGACTTGGATTTGAGTTTTTGCATATTTGATAAAAACTGCGAAGGTGTTAAACGAACAACAGGTTTTGCATTACTCTCTACCACGTATATACTCCAACGTAGGTTGACCATAATATTCGTCTCTATTCATGCGATGATCTTGATTTTTTTAATCGTAGTGATGATGACTCTAATTAATATGTGGCCGCATAAAACTTATGAAAATTAATAACCAAAACTCTTTTTTTTAAGTGATTCCTCAACAGTTATATGAATTTTTACTCTTATCAAACTTAACTCAAATGCGGCAACATATTATTTTTTTTATCAAAATTAACTCTGAAAACACAATTTTTAACAATAATTTTTGTTTTTTGATTTTTTTGACATGATCAAATCTTTAACAGTGATTAAAAGCCAAACACATGAGAATTATCTCATAAACTCAGTCCACTTATTATATTCCGTGTTTAATCCAACCCTAAAACATGTCACCTAAACTTTCATTTCCAAAGATTGTTCAAAACACACACAAATATATATAACAATTTGCAGAGAAAAATGAACATTTTATATTTGACTATTGACAAAATAAGACCAAAATACGAAGGACATGTGCCCTCATGATATGTGACAAATCTCAAAATGTTTAAGAAAAAACTAAATTAAAGAAGAGTCCCAAATCCCATTAAGAAAAAAAAAAGAATGCTCAACTAAAATCTCCTTTTCATATACATGGCCTCTCAAATTTACTTCTGATTCCAATTCAACTAACTCTTTTGACGCCTTCCTTTGCTCTGTCTTAGATCTTCAAAATGTTCTGAAAACTTAAAAACAAAATCTTAAAGAAGAGATAAATCTTGGGATACGATTTCTCCAGACGCTTCCAAAGCCTCAACAGCTTCCATACTATAAGACCGACAACTAAAATAGAACACTGCACTCATCATTGTATCAATAAGCACCACAAATGTATACATCACCACCAGAAGTGGACCTTCCCATAGCCTCGAAGACCCATCTCCATAACTTAGACTCTTCACTCTATGCTCAAACAATCCTTCCACGAATGTCAATCCTATTGTTGATCCTAGGAATATCAACAAACCAACCTGAGTCTGTCCTTTGATCAGATCACTCGCTCTCACCAACGCTTGTGGCCCCGAAACATCTTCGAGAATAGAAATCACAACCGTAGTGTTGCAGATTATTATAGCATCTGCAAACACTACCGAGAACACCAACCCAACTAAGATAGCTCCATAAGCATTGAAATCAGGAGAGAATCCTAGAACATAAAACGAGCTACACACAGCAACAAGGAAGACACAAAACGAAGTGAGGCAAACAACAATCACCGTACAAATCCACAAGTATGTGATCACAAGACGTTTCCATAGTCTCTGCATTATCACCACAAACTTGCTTATCACAACTTTTTTCCTCGAATAAGTGCAATCCACAGAGTAAACCACAGCAGCTCTAGACAATAGTGACAAAGTGATGAACAAAGGGAAACACATTGCAGATGAAACAGCAGTCTCAGAGAATTTCTGACAAGAGTTTCTCACAAAAGGCAACAAAGGAAGACCACTGGATTTCGAAACTAAGAGAAGCCTCACAGTGAGTGAATTAACAACTGATTGATCAACTAAAAGGTTTGGTAACAGGATTGCTGAAACAGGACAGATCAAAAGAAGTGCGATTAACATGAAAGCACCAAGATTATACCGGAGAATTCGTACGGTTTCTCTCAAGATCTCAAGCGCATTCATCGAGTGAAACTCATGATCAGAGGATGATGATGATGACTCAATCTCCAATTTCTGAAAGTTTGATCCTTGATTCATCATCCCAGATAAACCCATTTCCATAATCTCTCTGTTTTCAAACGAAAAGGGTTCAGCTACATACCATCAAATCGATGCAAAGGTGAGATTTTTCTCTCAAAGTTTGGATTTTTGTAGATTGTTACGAGCAAACTCAACCTTTTTGGTAATCATGATTCATGACGAGAAAATTAAGAGGGTTATACGTTAGCGCCGCGTTTAAGGCATGGGAGCGTCACAAAAACAATGAGAAAAATTGAGAATTTTGAAAGCGAAAACAAAAAGAGAAATTGGGAATTTTGAGAGCTTGAAGAAACAGAAATCACGCAGATGGGGCTTGTCACAATTTTCGACGAAGAAAAGAAAATAATAATAAAATTGGTAAAATATTTCCTATTTAATTTAGATTCTCCTCTTAAACAAAATTTAAACTAATAATAGTATAAATAATAATATTTTATTTAAAAGAGTTAAATTTTCCGTATATTTTGGTGATATTTGACAAAAGAAAAAAGAATATATATAACATAGTATCCTAAATTCACTAAATTGTATCGTGCAATTTTTAAAAGATCACAAACAAGCCAACAAAAAATATGTTTAGTTTAAAGTTCCCATAATTGGTATCACTATTTTTTTCTGCTTATGCTAATTTCTCTTGATTTTTTTTATTATACAATAAAGTAGTAAGAAAATTATAAATAATCTCTCTTCGGTGATTTTCTTAATAATTATCATATGACGAGTTCTTTCGAATGAAGCAAATCCCAAATTGTCAAAAAAGAGGGTATAATAATTAAGATGAGTCGGTGGCTCCGTTGACTAAACAAATCCCATGCAATTAGAAAATTAAGCTCTTCACAAACCATATGAATTCTTGTTTACTAATGTATAAATCAGACTCTTCCTTTGAATCACAAATTAACATTTTTTTCATAAGAAACAAAGTTTTTATCCTAACAAAACAAGCAAGATAAGTTTTCAGTAAATTCCCTAGAAGATCATGATTCAAATTGCTCAGTACCTTAAAATAAAATCAAGAATTCACAAAAGTCTCTGGTGCTTTATCTCCTAAGAGCTCTTTGGCAGGCACTGTAATATCTTTAAGATAGATACTCACAAATTGTTAATCTGAGGATGTTGGCCTTTTCTTGATCGAATGCAGCAGCCATAAATCTATGAATGCCAAAAGGATTCTCTCAACCCTTAAAAGCCAAAACTAGAGTGATTATATCATATGCTTCTTCTCATCTCGATTTGTGGATGTTTCTAGAAGGAACCTGATCACTGTCTTCTCCACCAGATGCATCGTAGCCATCACTTGTAGACCTTGACAATGGCATCATCATCATGGCTTGTTGTTGTTGTAGCCCTCTATGTTGACCCATCAGACCAACAGCTGAAGAGAACCCATTGAGCTGCGCTGCATCCTCTGCTTCGGAGGAAACTCTAAAAGGGTGAATGTCGTGTGAGTCTAAGCTGCTTTCTGGTGAGGATGTCACCATAACATTACCAGATCCTGACATTGCTCGGCTTGTCTGAAACGCGCTTCTTGCTTCTAGCTGAAGAGGAGCTAGCCCTGAACTAGTTGATGTCTCCATCATAGCTGCTTTTGTCTGCACATTCATCAGCGGTTCTAGAGGTAGTTCTGCTGGTAACCGTATGCGCTTTGATTGCCTTCTCTGCTTCCCGTTACTATTAACAGCTTCAAATTTTGCTGGGAACATTCTACGGCCGCTGCTTCCAAAGCTACTGCTTGCTTCTAAGCCAACAAATGGATTTTCCCGTCTAGCGACTGGCTGAATTATTTTGGATTTTTTTCTTGCTTCTGCTGCTGCTTTTGAAACTTCTTCTGCATTGAGACGTGCAAGAGTCCACGGACTGATCTTCACAGGTTGGGACTTCTTTTTAACGCGTTCCTCAACCACTGACTTCTTCCCATATGAACTCACAGATGCATTCTCTGGAGGGACTACATCAAACTGTTCACAGAAACACACACATTAGAGCAATTCATAGTCAATAAGGTAGAACAAAAATGGTGGATAATGGTACCTGGTCCTCAAGAAACAAACGAGGTGGTGTGCACCATGCCCCACGATGAAATGTATTGAAGGAGCTTGCACTGCTTAGTCCAGTAAATGAGCTGATCATTGACATCTGAGGACTCTGTTGACCACCTCCAGCTTCAAGCTCTTGCTCTTGCTCCCTAAGTGCAACTATGTAGTCGTATGTACTGATTCCCTATTAGAGAAATTTCGCTTTCGTAAATCGCATGAATAAAGGAGCAAGTTTGGACATGCCTTTGAGCATTGAAAACAAACCTTCTTAATGAGAAGAATGTGGAAGAAGAAAAGCTGAGCAAGTGGTAACGTTGCCAGCATTGCTAATAGAGTGCAAACTGCCTGCAAGAGAAAAATACCTTCATATCTTGGATTCAGGAGAAGATAGGTGACCGTCAACTGTATGAGAGAACTTACAACGACTATAACAAACGGAATAAGCGAGAAGCTGCTTCCCAACTTCAAGGCAATGTCTGCATTAAACTGGTTTCTCCGGAGTAAGCATAATACCAGCACAAAAATCCCAGTTGACCATTGCATAATGAGCTGCAATTTCAAACCACAGGGAAACCGTGAAGTTTTACCCGTTAATAACACTCCAAACTTGATGAGAACTAACTCTTTGTTTCATCAACCAAAGGAAAAATTATTCAGAACATTTTAGGACAGAAATAAACAGAGACTTTTTTTCAGGAAGTTGTGAAAGATCCACACAAACTTACCAAAAAAATAGCTGATACCATAAGGCTAAAGAATTTTCGGTAATTCCGCTTCCCAATGCAATTGTTTAGCCACTACAAAAAAGAAGATAAGCATTAAACACAGAATGAAGGGCTTTAAAACAAGATATTTACAGGCAAATCTTTATAATACCCTGCAGTGATGATCAAAACGGTCCACACATTTGTCACAAACCCTGCAATGCTTGCTGTATTTGAATACCTGCAAAAGGAATACAATAATTTAGTTCTGAGCATATGTGAAGCTTTCTTGATATTGGACCGTGAAACAAGGAAAATGCAAAGCTAATCAAGAGAAATAATAAGACAAGCCTGTGTCTATATGTACTTTCCGCACCTCAACTTCACACAGACTGCAATAAAACATTCCATCTTCACTCATCTGCTCAGAAGATTCATCTCCTCCACTGCAACAACTACAGAGCAATGCACAAGGAGAGCAAAGCAAACGCAGGACAGAAGACTTTTTTGATGACTCCAATTTCTTGTTAGTATCATTTTCTGGATCATGTAGACACGTGCCATCACAAGTTTTAGCACCACCCATAGCTGATCCACATCCATCTTTTGTATCCTTTGATAGAGGAAATTTCCCATTTTCAGGAATTTTAAGGTACTTTTTTGACCGGAATACTCCACGGTCAGCAGGATCTGAAGCCGCACACCATATATACAGACCAACCACACATGTAATCTGAAAAAAGAAGACGTCACTGACTCAAGTAGTCTCTAAGGTTATCATACTAAACTATTCACAAAAGCAAAAAGGTAAAATACAATTGTCAAAGACTTAAGGTGTACACAATCTCAAAGACTAAGGTCTCAAGTGTAGCTTCAAATGAAAGCAAAATCAATCAAGTTAAAAGAAGAAATGAAAAATCCACAAATTTGAGATCGAAGTTTCAACCATATCCTCCACAATTTGCTCGGAAATAAGAAGTATCTAGAGCTAACTTGTAAATTGTTCTCATGAATCAACGAAGCTTCTAATCTCATGACGGGGACCAGATCAAGATCCAACTAAAAAATCCAGGTAAATCCAGTTTCCCTAATTAGCTATAAGTAACAAATCGCACAAGACTGGTTAGATTGTGGAACCAATCAATGGTCTATGTACTTCACAAAAGATAAGCATTACCCAAACAGAGATAGCCAACAAAGTAAAGACCACATAAACAGCCAACAAGTACACAATTTTGATCTCTATTGAAAGCATATTTGATATCATCCAATTGAACTTACCAGGGGAGTGTAAATGCCCATCGCAATGTACTGATGTATCTTCTTCCCAACAAAGGGAGCAAAGAAGACATAGAAAGCAAACCCTAAAGCCAAGAACACAGCAACAGCAACCACCTAAACCCAGAAAAATCAAAACTTTCACCTTCAAAACCAAAACCCTCAAATGAAATCTCAGTTAGAAGAGTAAGGGAAAAAAAAGAAAAGAACCTGAAGAGGGTGGTAAGGAAGTTGCCATCCATGTTTCCTCATCTTAGCCTCCAGAAGAATGCTGCAAAATCCAGATGTAGATCGAAGAGACTCAAGTCAAATAAACAGATAAAGTTTCCTCCTTTCCCCTCATCTTCTTCAAAATTCCAACATTTTTGTTTTTTCGTTCACGGACTCTTACTACTGTTATCAAAAAGAAAAACAAAAGGTCTCAGACTCAGACCGAAGGAAGAAAGAAGAGTAAAGAAGAAGACATTTGACCACTGAGGGTGAGAAAAGTAATAAATATCAAGTAGAAACAAAAAGAAAAAGTAGACTCTTTACTTTGTGGTTTCTCTCTACTCTCTCTGATTCTCTCTGTATCTTCTGTTCAAAGCTTTGGTGCAGAGATCTACTAGGGAAAAAAAGAAGAACCCACCACCATGGAAGAGAGAGAGGGAAAGGAGAGTTATAATTAAGAGATGAAAAAGCAGTTACCTTTTTTCTAAGGCCAAATCATGTGTCACAGTCCAGTTGCTGGCATATCCAGTAACACTTGTTTTCTTTCTCCTCTTTCTTTATTTCCAATCTCTCTCTCTCTCTCTCTCTCTCTCTCTCTCTACTTCAGTATTTTTTTCTTACTTTTACTTCTTCTTTTTTACCTACTGGTTTTGTTACCTTTATGTTTTCACATTCACCCCAACACTTTTCATCAAATCCCACATGACATGTTTCAATTTTGTAGAAGTGATGAACTTGAGCATGTAAACTTAGGTTGTTGAGTGTTGTTAATTTGTGATTTAAGTAAAGCCTATTCAAACCTAATTACAAAGTGTCCTTGTGTAATAAAGAATCTCTCAGGTACGTTACACAATAAATGTTTTGTACCAAATTACTATTTGGTCTTAAATGTTTTTAAAGTCTTCCAAACTGGTAACTACTCTGTGTACAGTTCAATAATATAGGTTAACAAGAGAATCAAAACCGATTTGGTGTTAAGTAGAGAGTTTTGAACTCCAAAGAAGTAAACATTATTACAAGGGAAGATTACGCATAATTAATAAGAAAGGAATATTATTTGAATTTACAATATTCGAGGCCCGAGAGTGACAGAACATAGCACCACGAAAACGACGGTCGAGGGAAGATTAAATGAATTTTTCCCGTAAATTTTATGTGGTTTTTATTTGTGGTTAGAGATTTTTTAAAGCTTGAGTAGTAGTAGATTGTCTCTTATATGTCAGAAAGATGGAACTTTTTGTAAGACTTTTTTTTCTTTGTTGGTTTTGGGTTTGCCTTTTTTATTGCTACTTCTCATAAAAAGGGTCATTTGGATCGAAAGCCAATGTCTTACATTACATGTCTTTTCTGTGTAATTTCATATAAAAGAAAAAATTAATATGTACGTCGACTTTTGCATGCAGATGCGAAAAGAATTATGGGTGTTTTTTTTTGTTTGAAGGGAAGTGGGAATTTGTGTTTAATGTCTTTTTGGTTGAATTGATTGAGAAATTTCGTGATAAAACATGTATCGATTCTTTCTGACACAAACTCTCTATGAAAGTAACGGCCGAAGACAATGCAATATGTTTTGAAAACATATATTTGTTTTTTGGTAATAAAAGTTACATTTCGATTGCTTAGATTATTTTGGTACTTTTTCTTTCCAAACTTAGCAAAAACAAAACTCATTCTTGCGTGTATATATATACAACATTACAAACCTTAATCTTTGTCCAAGGCAGTTTGGATATTATTATAAGGTTTTATATACTATTTGTTTATTCTTTTTCTTTTAGAAAATTTTAAAATGCGTGGGAAAATGTAATAAATCGAAATATAATTTAGTGTAGGAACTGAAAATTCTATTTGAATATTTTGTTCGTTAAAACTTAGAAATTAATATATTTTTAAAAAACTAAAAAAAAAAAAAATAGGGACAAAAGGTGGGAGTGTGGGTGAAGGAGTAAATGTGAAGCAATAAATATCGAAGGAACTCTTTATGTATGTCGTTTTCCAACTTCATATTCTTATTTTTTTTCTTGGTATAAGAGATGATTTGCACTATTTTTAAAAAATCGATAAAAGAAGAAACCGATGAGGTCGAGACAAAGACAAGCATTCTTATAAATATCCTACAAAAAAAAACACGTAATTGAATAGTAATTAAGGTGGTCTGTGTACTAACTAATACTAGGAATAGTTTAGTACTTAAGTCAGGTTTAAGTATGTTTATAAAAACAAGGAAGCTACCCACCGGTGAATACGGATGGTTTGTTGTTTATCGAGATTTCCCCGGTCGCAAGTCGCAACTAACCTTGAACGATTCCAATGAATACAATATTTACCAATTTCCAAAGAAACCATAACTTTTATGTTTTGTTTTCTTAAACTACTACTACTACTAAATTTTTCATAAAGTTTTAGTATCACAAAAATTCAGGTGTATAAAGAATTTTTAGAAGGTGAGTAAACGATAAATTATTTTTAAAAAACGTATAATTTGTAATCATTTAAGACTTTTTAAAAACAATCTTTTATGAATTAGACGGTTGATGACTCACACCATATTCTAAAGAGTTTTTTTTTAAATTACAAGTATAGAGTTTTATGGATATGCACTAATAATTTTACTCATGCTTGGTAATTTTATGTTTGGTAAAAATCACAAAACTTGCATAGCTATATAATGTTTGGTTATATTCACTCGTACAATTACAATTGCAAAAGACTTGTGAAGCATCTCTTCTGTTACTGTGACTCCCAATCACACAAGTCAAACATATAGACTAGACAGATTAGAATACTTGACAAGAAAGATGTCTTTGGAATCAATGCAAAATTTGTTTTTAGAAGAAAAAAAAGTCAAAACCATGGTGACAACAAAGTCAATATAAACAAGAAATAAAAAGGATACGACAACATTAAACAGCTTTTAGGCAGGACAAATTAAACATATTAAAAATTCGATTTCTTTTTATTTAATATATATTGTGATAGGATATACATATACTAAATTACATACGGAGCCAAGCAAAGAATAATACAAAAAATGAAGTAGATGGGGACATACATATACAGCAAGAGAAGGACGTTGTTCTCATTTGCTTGGTTCTTCACCTTTAGGCACGTTCCCCTACCCCCTTCTGCCTCTCTCCCTCCTATACCCATGCCCGTGACTCACTCTATCTTTATACTATATAGTCATATACCCCTTCTTCTCCTCATTATTCCTAATTTCTATTTTAGTTTTTTTTTTGTAGGTTTCATTCATTCATACTCTCTTCTCATTTGAGAGTTGAGACCCCCCCCCCCCCCCCATTCAAAAGTGTTTCATTTATATATCCCAAAGCATATCCCTCCCCCTACACACACAACTCATGATTCTTAAATTTTGTGAGGCTGATGTGAATCGTGGAAGCAATTATAAGCTGTGCGGGGCAATTACTACTTGATTGGTTATGAAGAAAAGTGCTTTTTAGTTAAATAGTAGTCTAAATCTTGGATTAATGTTTTTAATTAACACCAAAAACCTCAAATCCCTTGATGTAAAAGTTTGTATGTAGGCACTAGACAAGCCCATCCCATAACATAAGCAAGCTTAAGCTTAAGCAGGGCCCTAGAATTTTAAAAGTTCAGGTTCTTGGGGTATTTTGTATGTTTCCTTGCAAGCCAAACTAATGGTTTGAGAAATATGTGTCTATCTCTTTGATAGTCAAGTCTGTTTTGTGTGAATGACAAAAATCGTCAATTCGTAATAATGCTTAGATCTTCTTCACCATTTTAGTATGTACTAAGCTGTCAATGCTAAACAGTTGACAATATCGGTTAATGCATAATCCACTATAGCAAATGTGAACTGTCACACATTTTCAGTATTACGTTCGAAATGTCACTATATATCCTTACCACAAAACTTGGTTTCAAACAGTAACTTCTCCACAACCAAAACCAATAACAAGATAGAGATATTAAGTGTCGTACATGAAACATGTGGGCTTGCTTAAACTACTAATAAGAAGACCCAAAAAAGTAAAGGACCAAATTGTGTTCTTATAACATTTGACTCTGTCAAGTCAAATTGATGATACATTAGAAAGAGAGGCAAGACAAAAATGCTTACTTATTACTTTGGACCAACTTCCTTGAGAGCACACATCTGCTCCTCTCCCATTGCAGACATCACAGACACAACAATATCCTTTCCCTCCTCAAATCCATTCTTGAGCTGTGTTAGCAGAGCTTCATCTGTTGGCAACTTCAAATCATCCTTAGTGCTACCATTATCAGTCAGAAGACTAACCTGTTAATGTCATTCAATAAAGTCTTTCAATATGGGACAAAGGTCAAAAACACAAAAGTTGAACTAATAAGAACGAGAGTGTCACATACAAAGCCATCTTCAGAGATATCAATCAATTGGTAATCAACACGGTTCACATGTGGAACCTGCTCAAAGAAAAACAGAATTAGAGTCAAAATTACAAACTTCACCACAGATGTATATAATATATTCAATCATCATAGGACTCACATCACAATTGTGGGAAGAAGGAACAATATCTTCAAGCTTCTTAGAAGTGAAGATATCAAGTGCAACAAAATGACATTTGGCGTGACCGTGCTTCCCAGTCTTTGATGTTGATACCTCAACCACCTATTTATATATTACAAACCCATAACAAAGAAACACCAAATTGAATCAAGAAATTACACATAACTTCAAAAACACTCCTCATCAGCCCTAGTCATTTCAGAATCTGTCATAAACTAGATTCACAAAAACCCTATAAACCAAAACAGAGATTTTTCTCAGCACTAAACACCAGATCACCACTAAACCTCAAAAATCATAACGATCACGTAACCTAATACAATCTAGATTCAATACTAATCAACAAAACGAAAGAGAGAAAGCAAAAAAGAAAAAGAAAAAAGGAGACCTTGCATGGACGTCCCTTGATGACGATGTGACCACCTTTACGGATGTTACCGGCTTGTTGAGGATAAGTCTTGGAAGCTCCGGCGTCGCTTGATTCGAAGTGGTGCTCGTCGTCCGACATTGTTCAGAGAAAGTGTTTGATACTGGTGCAAAGTCAGCGAGTTGTGTTCTGTTTTTTATAGAGCACTGAGTGATCGAGAGAGAGAGAGAGAGATCTAGGGTTAATTAGTCTTCTTCAGCCGTTGGATTTTAGAATCTTAATAATTATATCAATTAATCAAGGGTTAAGATTTATTTAACGTTTGCTTTTTTCTTAAATAAAATAAAAAGTCAGATCGTAAATATTACGCAGTCCTGTAAAAGATTCTCAAATATAATTAATCTCTTAAGAAAATATTAAATTGGATTATGCATCGAATCAAAAAGAGTAAATTAAAGTTGACTAAAAGTCGAAATCATACGTTATACATTGAAACACAGAGACTTGAGAGATGAATCGATGATACAACAAATCATTACATGCTGAAACGAGTCCAATTCTGTGTAGCAGCTAACTCAAAAATCAACTTAGCTAAAGCTAAACGTGCTACCAAAAGACACACAAACAATATAGATACAAAGTACAGTAGTAGACCTCAGGGAAGCTAATAAATCTTTTCAAAGCCTGTGTATGAACACTTGAGGTGCTTCTTCCCTGCAAAACACGAGGAGTGTTATCGATACAAGTGTTTTTCTTTTTTATGTACTGTGTGAGTGTGATGATTGAAAGGTAAACTTACTTCTCTTCAGCTGCTTGGTAAGTGTGGCTTGATGCAACTGCCAAGAGCTCTCCAGTGTGATTTAATGCTAAAGATGAGATGCTGTTTGAGTACCTTGGCAACTTTTATCAACAAAAGACAAATGAGATTTACAAAGGAAAATAAAGAGCAAGAAGGGATCTAGAGAGAACATGTCATGCAGGTAATGTTTGAAACCTCAAAGAGTCTTCTTCTGCTTTTAGCATTCCATGAGATCACGTAACCTTCATTGTCCCCTGTCACAAAAGCCCCTGACCCACTGTGCCAACAAGAAAGAGTCAGCCATACGATCATTCATGTGTACCTTTAAAGGGTGAATGAGGGAAACTTACCACGGACTGAATTCGATAGCATTTATGCATACACCATCTACTCTTCCATTCCTACACTTGGGATGACATCGGAAGCTGTATCTGCCATGAATTTATGGTACACATGATAAGATAAAATACTGAATCCAAACCAGTGGATGACCATTTTTGTATGTTTCAACTTTCGTATTGTGGTCATTCATCACTTACTTTGTCTCACTAGAGTACGATGTATCAGGGAAATCTACAGCTACTTGTCCATCTACTGACCCAACTGCATATCCTGCTCAATAGCAACAATAAATCTTAGAAACCAAACAAAACATGAACCCTCGTCTATGTAAAATATCAATATTTATTCAATGAAAGTGTAAACTATGCCACATAACCCCAAAACTCACAGATTCATGAAACTATATATGTTTACCTCTCGAATAAGGTAGAGAGATAATACATCTGATTGGCACCTCCACTTGGGATGCACACGGTCGAAAACCTTGATCTAAGTTACGCAAATCGTAAATATGAACTGATGCGTCCATGCAAACAACTAAGTTGTTTCCAGATACAGTAATGCATCTCACTGCTGCACTAGTATCAGTCGAACATACAAGACATTCTCTTTGTCGTGTATCCCACAATTTGATCTTCTTATCCAAGCCAGTAGATATCACTTCACCTGAGCCGCATCACACCCATTGAAGTTAAATGGTTGCATAGCACCAAAGATTATGTTTGGAAAAAATCAGGAACATGAATTATGAATCAACTTGCCAACAACATTGAACAACACAATTTCTATAATTTTTATCAAAGTTTTTGGTTCAAAACTCAAAACCTGAAAAAGAAACCGCTGAATACTAAGAAACGTATATCTACTTGGTACAAATGACCAAAGATCCAATTTTAACTTAGTAGTAGCGCAAACATAACTGTAACCAATATAATTTCGTAACCAACCGAGAAATTATCCAACATTCTTTTATTCAGCCTATAAGGGAAGTGTTCTGGCTGAAGATAGGTGTATAATGCGTTAGGACATTCATTTGTCTATCAATATCTTAGAATCTAGTGATCAAATTGACAACATTTAAGCACTTTGCACCACACTGGATTCTGGTTAAAAACAGATACCAAATCACACAATTCAACATATTCGAAAACAATCATTAATACTTACTTAAAGTGTGGCAAACTGACCTTTATCATAAGAGTATACAATGGATGTTGCAATGTCTTCATGTCTTCCAATTCTATCAACTGTTCCAGCGTTTAAATCGTACCTGACAAAAACAAATTTTTGAAGCACTCAATCTCCATTGCTAATACGTAACTGAAACACATGAGTTCCTTACAAGCATTGTTTTATCATTAAATTAGCCTAGGTGGGTTCTAAATTTTATAACAAAAATCAGATCTTTTGATGAAAAGGTAACAAATTTGCTCACTTCATACAAAAACAAAAGCATCCCATTTTGAAACTCTGAAAAATGTTGGTTAAGAAAATTGCAAACCTTCGGATGAATCCATCAGAACCAGAGGAAAATGAAGTTGATTCATCCTCGAAACAGCAATCAAGAAGAGCAGCTTGAGAGTACAATTCTACACTTAGCGAAGAGCTCTCCACATTATACAATCTCAGATACTACATAATCAACAACATTTCGTCACTGTCTCTGAGAAACAATACGGTATCAATTTTGAAATCCGAGACAGAGTAAGAGAAGAGAAGAAACTTACGGAATCCCAAGAAGCAATAAGGAGATTGTTTGATTCAGGGGAGAATCTGAGCCTCGAAACCGCATCCTCAATAGGATTTTCAAATTGAAGTGGATCTCCGCTCATGTTTCAAACCCAGATTATACCAAATCCCACTTTACTCAAAACAAAATCTCAAGCAGAACGAATCTCGAATCAAACGCCAACGCTAGAAGAAGAAGACTACCCGGAAATTTCAAATTCCAAAGTTCAAATTTTGGAGACTACAATAGAGCGATTGAGATTACTTGAGCAATTTCAAAATTCGGGTTCCGCTCACAAACGGGTTAATGGGCTTATGGGCCAAGTATCTATTGTCCACAATACATACTTTGATCAATACGAACTGAATTGGAAAATATCCAAATTGAACACCCTTAGTTCGTTTTAGCTTATGCAATGGACGACATTAATAATTGAATTTAACGAATCCACTCTGTGAAGTATACTAATTGAATCTCATTAACTTGACGATTTACTCTATGATCCCTATCATAGAGGAAATCGTGCCAAAGAGAGTTAACAAATTATAAGAGAGTGGCTGCATATATATACATGGGGAGTGTCACGAAACTGTCTTTGTTCCCTCCAGACTAAACTTCAAGAACAGCAACACAAAACAGACAAGACACTATCCAAGAAATAACAACTCTAAGACCGAGCTTTCTTTTATCACTCCGGGACATAAAAATCGAACCTGACATCAACAGAACCATCAAGAGTGTCTTTGTAATTCACGTTTGTTATGGTTCCAGCCTCGTCCACGTCTTGGTACTCTGGTTTCACCCTCCTAACAGGCACCGTGACAGAGTAAACAGTCCCAAGGTCACCGTCCGTGGATACATTCAGCTGAACTTTTTCCTCTGATTCTATCTCTACGAAATCCGACAGTGCGTGGATGATGTTGTTGACGATTTTCCTTTTAGCTTCATCACTAACATCACACCTGTCTGAGAAGAGGATCATCTTGAGCCGCTGCTTTGCGATTCTTGCGTTGGAGCTTCTTCTTGAAGCTCGCGATGGGAATATTACCTTCCAGGCTATGTTTAACCGGTCAAAGAAACTCATGTTGATGGCATTCAAGAGAAAGCTCTCTATCTCTTGCTCAGCTGGGCTTTGTGTTAATTCATAGTCTCCCGTGTTCCTTGCAAAAACCTTCACATGACTACGTGTGTTTTCACGGCTGATCGCCACTCCGGGAAATTTCTGAGTTTGCAAACTGTTTGCCCCAATGCTTATGAAACCCGCTGAATCAACCTGCAAATGTTCCATCACCAGCAAAAAGAGACTGTAGTTTCAAACTAGATGCATTTAAAAACTCAGTTATCGTCCTACATCAATACGTAAAGAAGCAACTGTAACATCAAGATCATCTTAAACTTAATGAAATGGTTCTGTAACAAAGTAGAAAAACATCAGGTCACAGCACCACAAAACATCTGCATATATCTAACAGTAAACCAGTACAGTCTAATAGTAACCCAAGGTAACACCGCCATGATTAAAAAGACTTAATATGGGCTACAAGCTCAAGAACACATCTACTCTCTTTGTCGCCCCAAAAACACATCAAATTTACAAATACGGTGGGCTGATTCATCGAGATGGAGTAGTTGGTTTTGTTCCTAAAGTGAACTAGAAACCCTTTCAACAAACACATCTAATATGGCCTTCACTAGCATTCACTTCCCAGTGCCTAAGGAAAAAAGAAAACAAAAACTAGGATGGTAAAATTTCTAGAGCTCGTAAATACAAGCGACGAACAAACAAATCTAGAGCTAGAGAGACATTGTGAACTGTTCCGCTAGTAAGACGCATTTCAGATTCCTCTTAACCCACACAGACATAGAAACTAAAGATCGAAGCTAGTAATCTAAGTTCGTATGACAAATTACACGAAATCGGGACATTGGGTTGCGAATTTCATGAAACCCAGATCCCAAATTGTGGAGAAGAGAAGTTTTGAAGAGTAAGAATTATAAGAAAATCGGACCTTGGAAGAAGAAGGTAATGAGAGGCGATTAGGGTGGTGATGATGATAAGGAGATACTAAGGTCGCGGAGATCCTCAGAGTCCCAGAAGACAACGCCATTACCGAGGATAGTTGAATTGCTCGCCGGAGAAGCGAATCTTTTCGTCTCAGTCAAAGAGAAGAAATGAGACACATACAAAGTTAAAAGCCTATCAGGCTCTTACGTCGTCGTTTAAACTCCACTCCCCCCCCCCCCCCACACACTTTTAAACGATGCCGTTTTGCGCTTACTGTGAATACAAATTAAATTAAAGTAAAACGGCATCGCTTCGACGTAATACAACACTGTCGTTTTTGAACACTAATTTAATTAGGGAACTGTGGTCACCGGCGGCGAGAACCGAGGCTTCGTCGTGACCATATCTCCCAAATATATAAATTTGGAGGAGAAGAAAAAAATAATTCGTTTTTGATTTGCTCTAAATGGGTAGATGGAGAGCAGTAGCTGCTCTACTCCTTCGTAATCAAATTCTCAAATCGTCAAAGAGACTACTAGACCCTTGTTCTCCATGTGTTTCGAAACACCCGTCGCTTGGTTTAGTACCTTCTCGTTTCCTCGATTTCCGATACTTGTCATCGCTCCCGTCTCCGATTTCGACTCACAGCAATGACTCTGATTCCGGGTCGACTTATGCGTATCAAAAATATGAATTTGGAACAGAGGAAGATGAAGAACAAGGGAAGATCCCTATCAAAGCCTATTTTCTCAGTACTAGGTATTGATTTTGCATTGTTGGGACTGTTATATCACTCGCACCTTTGATATTGGGACACTCTCACTTGTTAAAGTTTTGATTTTGGAATCTTAAAATGAAAGTTCCAAGTTTTGTTTTTGTTTTGTGTTTCTTTTTGTAATTTTTGGTTTCTTAGAGTTATTGTTTTGGCAGTATTGATTTGAAGGCAATGCAAGCTGAAAACTTATGCAATGTTGTTCCTCCTACCTCACGTTCTACCAATTTTATTGCCCTCAAATTTTCTGATTTTGCTTCTGGAATCCAAGTAAGATTGATACTCAGTAGAATGCAGACATTCCATTGATTAACTTATGTTGGTCTAGAAACCAAAAAGACAAAGTCAATGCTGATCTTGTTTTACCTTCTTCACAGACTCTGGATGAGAGGGAGAGTGTAAGCAACTGCCAGTTCATGGTTGTCTTTCAATACGGTTCTGCTATTCTTTTTAATATTGATGACAATGACGTTGAGCGTTATCTTGACATTGTTCGTAGACATGCTTCTGGATTGCTTAAAACTATGCAAAAAGATGGTCAGTGTCCTGTCTTTCTACTTCGTTTGAATTTTTCAGAGTACTCAAAACAATAACTTTACTTTCATTAGTTGTCAAGTTTTGCAAATGAAATGACCTTTTGTGGATTTTATTGTATTAGATTATGCTGTGAAGGAGGAGCCTTTGTTGACTGAGGAATTCAAAGGTGGCCCTGACTACATTGTTCTCAGAACTTTAGATACTGATAGCATCCGTATAATTGGGACTGTGCTTGGGCAGAGTATTGCATTGGATTACTTTGTTTCTCAGGTAACTTGTTCTTTCAGTGTCCTAAAACGATATAAGTATATGGCTGTTTCACACATAGAGTCACAGACTTAGAGAGTATGGAAAGACTGTAAGAAACTGGTTAATGTTGAAAGTTTGAGTTTTTAATGATCTCAGGTACACAAGCTGTTGGAAGAGTTTGCTGATATAAACCGTGCAATGGAGAAAACCGGAACTTTCACGATGACCAGGAAAAAGCTCTTTCAACTTGTAGGGAAGGCGAATTCTAATCTAGCTGATGTGATTCTCAAAGTTGGTTTGTTTGAGAGGTATTCTATTAATGTTAAATCATTTTCACGTTCTTATGTTGTTTTCTATGATCTATATATACACCTTTACTCTTATAAAACTCAGAGTTCTTGAATGATTTTGGAAGTATGCTTACTCTGAAATCTCGTGGAAACAATGTTTGTATATAAGTCAAACTCATCTGTTTTCGTGCTCTCATAGATCTGAGATTGCTTGGAGAGAGGCAAGATATGCTCAGATATACGAGTATTTAAGAGAAGATTACGATTTCACTCAGAGATTTGAGGATCTAGACTATAAGCTGAAGTTTATAATGGTATTTACTAGTTTGATTTTCTCTTCGATAGACAGTAGTCATGTTTTGGTTTAAAAAAATATATAATTTCCTCTCTTTTCATCTGCAGCACAACATTCACTTCCTCCAAGAGGTGATGCAGAACCGACGATCAGATCTCTTAGAATGGTTGATTGTCGTCTTACTGGTTGTTGAGAACGCAATAGGCATTTACGAGATTGTTCGAGAATCCGCAGGAATTGCACTTACATCATTGTAGGGTGTCCAATTCTGTGAAGTCAAGTTCATTTATTTTTATCTTTAGTTTTACATCTGTAATAAAATTAACTTGACTCGCTAGCTTGTGTCAACACATAGTCTTTGGAATTTAGGATCAATACAAATGATATGCTTTCTTCTTTCAAAAACATTAATCCAGCCTTCTAAGCAAGTACTCAATTTGGACTTCCTTTGTGAGGGGCATGATCCTCTCTCCATAGAGTTTTGCAACTAAGCTAGGTTGGATTTTGTAGGAAGGATCTGCTCCAGTTTCTGGATCGTTGATTGTTATGTCTTGACCAAAAATTCTGGCTTTGATCTCAACTCTCTTCTTGACTACTTCTTCAACATTTTCGTACGTTAGAAGCCGCATCAGCTGTGTCCGGTCCTGGAAAGACTCAAGCCAATTTATGACAAAAGAAGATGCAGATAATGCATAAAGAGTGAGTATTTAGTATGAAACAAAATGAGAGTACTTGTTCTCGGATAGCTGTTTCATAGGAAGCAGGATTTTCACGAAACTTGGCCTCAGCAACAAATTTCCCATAGTGAATTCTCTTTGAAAGTATCTGCACAGAGGGCGCAATGAGTTATTTCAGTTTCAAGTCTCCTAATATAGCCATTTGTAATAATACATGCGAAGCTTCTTGCCTGCAAACACATTGTGTCACAGAGAGCAGCTGAACCACAATTACCATCATCCCCAGGCTTGACCAGTCTGGGAAGAAGGTGTCTGAAATACATGTTCCACACCTTCTTGTTGATGTTTATCGAATCTGCGGTATGATGCAAAACCTGGTTTAGTCACAGGACAGAAGAGAGACAAAATTTGTTAACTCAAAGGCAAAAGTTCCTCATCCTTGCAGTTGTTAAATATATGATCTACTTTGGACACTATCAAGTATATTTGTGAATTTGTTCTGATGAAATGCAAACCTTTAAAGGCCAAAAATCACCTGTGGGTATTGAATCGGGGGAAGGATAGGCTCTGGCAAGCATTGTGGGAAAAAAGGATGCTCATCAGGACTCTTGTACCTGTCCACCTTACTTCAAGAAAAAAGATCATCAACACAGAGAAGATTTTGGAACCCATGAACTAAAATTGAAAGATGTGCTGATTATATTTTTCCAACCTTTGCGTGGAGCTTTTCAGTTTCTCTGACCATAAACTCGACCAAAGATCCTTGAAACCCTTCCATAGTAAAGGCATCCTCGTCATATGTATCAGGGTTGTAGCGATACTGAGCTCGTTCAAGAAGGTTAAAGATAATGCTGTCCTCTTGACGAATCAAAGAGTGCCTTATGCTGTCAAGTGTCAAATACTCACTCTCATCAACCCGTAGTAGCCCCCTCGAGTATCTGTGAGAAATAGCCAAATCACATCAATACCTTGTCTTTAATAAAACAAAAACATCCAAAAACTTAATCAACTTCAGCTAAAACACTAAAGCATCAAGAGGTAGATCATTCTATAACATAAGGTGCATACGAAAACAATAGACAACAAATCTGCCAACACGTTACAAGTACAAAACTTTATTCTACCGTACAGCTCAGGCCATAGGACCATGTCTGTCTGCAACAAAGACGACAAAGCAGCAGCTAAGCCCTCAGTGTAAAACTGACAAAGCAGAGCAAGGACGAAAGCAAATTAAAAAAGCCGGTGGCTTTAGCTTTACATCTCCGGTAGACACAAGAATTACGAGTCTTTAAATACAATGGCGGCTGTCTTTCTCGGAAGATAGAAACATTACCGGATCGGAGAAGCTGCAGAGAGACGGAGGGAGAGAGACCCAGGCACGCCAAACCTCGATCGACAGTTCCAGTTGGTTAATAAAAATCGGGAGATGGGTCGTAAAGAATTCGCAAGATTGAGACTTGGGGAATTGTGAAACGCGGGGTTGAGTAGCGTAGCTTCCATCGGCGATGCACCGGAGAATGAAACAGACTGAAGAAATCTGAGGAAATGGGGAAAGGTGGAGGAGAAGACAAAGACAAGAGAGTGGGAGAAAGAAAAGGACAGAAGAGAGATTCGGCGGAGTAAAAAACGGATAGAGACGCTAAAATTAAAATCCGTTACATAAATTTTTTTTAATCTGGATCACGTTTTTAATGTTTCTACCATTTTTTTTTTGTGTTTTTGGTTTTTTTTTCTATCTTTTAAAAGTTAAATATATTTCTACAATTTCGTAATCAAAATCATAAATAAATAAAATAGAATGTCTTTTTTTGTTCTTGATTTTTTTTATCTTGATTATTAGCTATTACCTAAAAGAAAATTGTAATCTATGCCATAAAAATAAAAATGTTAAAAGTTCATTTTTAAATCATTTTTTTAGCTTTTTAACTATTCAATATTACAGTCTTTTTTTTTTGTCGGCAAAAAAAAACTATGATATGACACTCTCGGAAATAGATTTTCCGCTAGGGGAGCCAGTCGGGGGCCGAAATGCTCATATGCGAAAAGAGTCTATGATTTTTGTTTAATATTAGAGTCTATAATTTTTGTTTTAAAAATATATATATATTTTGAAGTTTATTGGGAAGAGATATGTGATTCTCAAGCAAAGAGATCAAGATGATTAGAAGTGTAGAACATTATTGGGGAAAAAGGTAGATGATTAAGCCTAAACTGTGGAATGGTTTAAGATCCAAAAGAAGAATGATGGGTAAATTGAGAATGTAGTGGGACTATTTTTACTTATAGTCCAAATTTAACTAAACAAGTTCATCATCTCAGATTTCAACTTTTGAATCAGTATATGCCACATGTGTTGAATATTCATGTGGCTACCATTTATTTAAAATCTTGATTTATGGAAAAGTTTTTGACATACACCAATATACATATTTCGGTTACAACTACCAAACTCAAGAAACATTCACATTTAGATGCTCAGCATAAAAAAGCAAAATTACATCATGCGTGATAAGTTTTTTTTATATATAGAAATGATTATAAAAAATAACAAAACCTGTAAGTTTTTTTTGCCCAAAAAAAATAAATAACAAAACCTGTAAGGAGACCATATGATATTTTAGTATAATTGATTTATAACAAGTACATATTATTATGTTTGGAAATATGTGAAAAATATATCTATTTGGACGACTTCAGGTTAATTAGTAGTGTTATTTTGACAAATATTAGAAACTAAAATGCAAGTAAGTAACTTTGCACAAATCTAATCACTTGGAAAAAAAAAAAGTGATCAGATAAGTTGTACTTGTGGTTCACAAGAAGCATTTAAAAAACATTTATATCTCTACTTTAGTTTTTTTTTTCTCCATTGCTAGATCTAGACAATCATCTTCTTATTTATTTAATCCTAATAACATTAATCCGTTTGTTAGATAAATAACAATAAATGTTTGCAATTGAAAAGGTTTTGGTGCCTTGTGATTATGAGAGGAAAATATTAAAACTTCAAACGGTTTCTTAACGTGTTAATAATGCATAAACACGTTACCGTTAAATGTTTTAATTTGTACATATCTTTAATAGTAATATGTTTTTAATTATAGTATTTGTTTGGCACCATTGGTTTGTACAACTGGTACGTGGGTGTTTTAAAATAATCATAAACATTCCAAGTTGACTTATACATCGGTCCATACATTAATTTTTTTTTGGGTTAAAACTATAGTATATATAACACAAATGTAACATCTTAGATTGAACAATATCTTTCTAAATCCAACGAAACTACGACACGTAACATAATTCGAAAGAAAGGAAAAATATGCTTCCTCGTAATAAAAATTGATGGCATTGTTGTAATAATCTCCACAGCAAAGCCTTATTTTCTACTAATGATATTATGTCTTTAAGTACAGATCGAACCAATAAGGGACGAACAAAAGGAAACAAAACTATTAAAGTAAATCCAAAACCAATCCCAAAAATGTAATTATCTTCAAATTTTAAGGTTATTATTAGAAAACAAAAAAAAAAACTTTAAAAAAAAAACCTCAAAGTTGCGTCGACGACATTTGGGACCACCAAACACCCCTTCATTGGCTTTTCAAATCTAACCTAATTTAATTTATTTATATAATAAATACATTAAACAAAATTTTTTGATGCTTTGTTTAGAAATTAATTAATAAGTGTTAACATCAACACTCGATCAAACTTGTGATTTAGAGTAACTTTTTTTTTTTGGTTATCAAGTGTATTAGCTTTTTCTTCTAAAGGTGATTGATTTTTTAAGCTAATCCTTTTGAGGGTTTTTGCCATTATTGCTATGATTAATCGTTTCTTACTCCATTTAGGAGAGGTTTAACTAAGATCAGATTTACCCAAATATAAATTTTGATTAACGCTAATTAGTTAACCAATATGTATATATGTATATATTCTTTTGTATTATATTTGCTTCGAAAGAAAACAGAAGCTTCTCGTTCTTAATATTAAAAGATATTCGTATGAATGGGAGAAATTGTTATACTGGTGGACTATTATAAAAATAGGAAAAGTCATGGGAGGGTATTTATAATTTGTAAATTTCTAATTAAGACGCAGCAGTACATGGATTTTAATGCGCATATATTAATACATAAACTGTTTTTTCTTTTAATCTAAAAGGAACTGAAAAAGAAAAATAGTTTTGTTTTAATCTAATTTGTGGATAAAAATTGAATATCAATGCTATATATATATAAAAACACATTTTAACATTTGTTGTTGTTATGGAAGGTTAAGAAAAAGGCGAAGTACAAAAGAAAGAAAAAAAATTCCATAAAAATTCCCCATCTAATTTTAATTTAGAAGTTTAATATCCAATGTTATTTGATTGGAAACAAAATGCATGGTTTATTAATTTGTTGTCTATTAATACATCAAATATATAAAAATTGTTGAATCTAAGAAACCGCTTAACAAACGATAATCGGATTGACGGAATCACTAAAACGGGGTTAATGAAATTACACTATAATTAGGGTTTATCGATCCCAATTCGATTTGGGGTAATAGCAAAGGACAACGCAGTCTTTCGATAATCCCAAATTACCCGTGTATTTAGGGATTAGTGATTTCGTCAATCCGATTAAGCGGTTTATTCGATTCGACAATTTTTATATACTTAATATATTAATAGACCAAAATTTAATAAACCATGCATTTTATTTCCAATCAAATAACATTGGATATTAAACTTCCAAACTAAAAATTAGATGGAGAATTTTTAAGGAATTTTCCCGAAAGAAAAATAAATGAATTTCACGTAATTAATGAAACAACGTGCTCTATGCTTCTAGCAATAGATTGAGAGAGACGTAATGCAAACAAGTAAAAACTCGATTTAAATCCATCATCATCTTTTTTAATCTTTCTTCATCATTTTTGTTGTTAAAAAGTAAATGTGTTTTTTTTTACAGCGCACTAAAACAGTAAATGTGTTTGTAAAGGTGTAATAATGAAATAGTAAAAGATTTATTCTTTGGTCGTGGTTTGTACCTTTTTCTCCATTCTAAAATTAACGTCCCAAGGTTATCGAAAGAGAGCACAAGGAGAGAATCTAGGGGTATAACTGTACACTTGATTTGGAAATTTATTAGCCTCTTTCTAATGTAAATATTGCAAGTTTTTATAAAATTATTATTGACACGATAATATTTTTGTTTGATAAATTTGTTATTTGTATGTGTAGAATATTAAACATTACACTATACGATAATGTAATGGTTTAATGTTAATCTGAAGATAAATCAAAAGTAGTAGTTTAAAAGAGAAGACGAAATTAGTTAAACACAGCTTCCAAAATGTATTTGAACGTTCCCTTTTGTCAAAGATGGAAGATTCTTTTAATGCTGAAAACAACTTTTTCATTAAAACACGACTTAAACAATCAACATAAGTTTTTTTATTAGGTACGATTTTTTCAAAAATCTCACTAGTTTTATTTCTAATTTTTACTGCTAGAGTGCTAGTGGTTGAAATGGAACAAAATCTAATGATTATAATTCATGACATAATAATAAGTATAAGTTTTATTTACGGTTTACATATTTAAATGTTAATAACATGTATAAAAGTGATATACGACCATTAGATTGTAAAATAATTAACGTTTTATCAGTTCGGGTTGCATATTAGTATTATTAATCTTAATGATTAGTAAGTTTAATTTTATTTTTTTACGGGATTTCTCTCTCTCTCTCTCTACACCGAACTATTTTATCTCTCTTGGTTGGTTCACTCTAATGAGAAAGAAGGAGAAAACACCAAAATCACAGAGAAATAAAAATAAAAATTAAAATTAAAAAGGAGGAATATAAAAGCTCTTATTCCTTTTATTGTTTGTTTATTTTGTTTTGCTTTCTTCCTTCTCCTTTTTAAGAATCAGAAGAGAGAGAGAGAGAGAGAGAAACAGACAGATAGAGATATTGAGAGAGAGAGAGAGTTGGCCCAGCAGCGGATCGACGACGATGACGATGACGATGAAGACGATGATGATCTGATTCTCTCTCCTTTTTTATAGCTTCCTCTCTCTCTATCTATCTCTCCCATGGCGTTTCGACTCTATCCCACACTTGAGATTTTTTCTCTCTCTTTCGCTGCTCCTTATTTTTAGTATTATCTCACAGAGAAAAAACACTTTTATAATATATATTTTTTCTCATTTGTATAATTTTTTTTTTTTATTGTCGCCGATTTGGGAGTGAGTGTAAAGATCCTTCTCTCTCTCTCTCTCCCTTCTAATCGAATGAGCGATTAGAGAAGATTTGTGTGTGTCTCTCTCTCTCTCTCACAGGTATCTCTAACACAAAAAATCTCTATCTCTGATTTTTTTTTTAATTTATTGGTTCAATTTTTTTTAAGTATTTAATCTGATAAAAATTTTGTTTGGATTTGTTTGTTTTGAATAGATGAATTAGGTTTGAAGCATTTGACTGAAATCGATCTCACCTTCTTTACTGTTCATTTCATCGTACGGTTTATGAATATTTTTTTGTCAGATTTTTTTTGTTTTTCTCTCTCTCTCTCATGTTTACTTATTTTATTTTCTTCTTCTTTGGTTTCTCAATCGTTTTAGATTTAGCTTTCACCTCTAATGGTGCTTCCAATTTTCTGGGAATATATATATATTTCCTTTTGCTACATTTTTAGTTGTTTATCTAATGTTTTTGAGCTCAGATGTTATAGTTTTAGTCTCTGATCATTCATTTCATTGAATTATAAAATCTTCCTATAAGATAATGTCGTCGGTGACTTTTATTTTATTCTGGAATTTGTTTGTGATCGCTGTTTTTTTTTTTTTTTTTTGAGTATTAAATTGTGTTTTTTTTCTTGTGTGCTTGTGTTTTAAAGGAATGGGAGAAACAGTTCATTGTGAAAGCTTCTTACCCTCAATGAGGGATTTAAGTGAAGATTCAAACAGTTGTAGCTATTCTATGCTTTTTGCTGGAGATAAAAACTTGCCTTATGGTGCTGGTGGGAACTACCATCATAGTGTCTCTGCGAGAGCTGCAACGGATCCTTCTTACTCTGATTTCTTGAAACAGACCATGCTTCAACACGAGGCCGTTTTCAAGACTCAGGTTTATCTTTTTTATCTTTTACTGACAATGTCTTGACATGGGTTTGGTATTTTTATGTGTTGACCTTTCTGTTTGTTTGTATTTTGTTTATATGTAGGTTTTTGAGCTTCATCGTTTGTATAGAACACAGAAGAGTTTGATGGATGAAGTAAAGGGAAAAAGTTTTATTGAGCCTACACCCGAAAGTGCGATTAAACGAGAGCTTCCTGGATTTCTTTTAGGGAATTCCATGTGTGATGAAGGAAGCAGCTCTCAAGTTTGCAATGCTCCTTTGCTAAATGGGATTAGTTCAAAGGACCATGAGGAGGTGGCTGAGGTTAGACCTGTCAAGGTTAGAAGAACAATGATTGATCTTCAACTCCCTCCTTATGAGCAGTCGAAAACAGATGAACAAGTTGAAGAAAAGCTCTTCTTCGAAAGAGGGACTGCTTCTCATCTGAACGATTCTTCTGGATCTTCTTTGTTAATGAAGAATCGAAATGGGCTAACTGACTTGAACGAGCCAGTCCAATGCCAAGAAGAATCAGTACCTGTTTCTACTTCCAGGGACTTATATTCTTCTCTTTACGGAAGAAACATTAAGCATGTGCAAGGCCAGTGGATGGATAAAAATACAAGTCAATATGGTTGGATGGTTCTTGAAGCTGGTGAGTTTTTTCATTTACATATTCTTTCATTTGGTTTATTAACCTCTGAAACAATATTCGTGGGAGTTTATACTGTTTTATCCCTTCTGCTCCATTTTTATGTGGGGAAAGTTTGGCAACGAGTTCTTATGATAACATTGAATGGCTGTTGCTCATAGATTGGTTTGTGGATTGTGTTCTGATACAGTAGCTTTTTATGTGTAGTAATATTTGCCTATTCTACTCTCTGATGTTTCTCTATGGCTGCATGGTTATAGGTCATGGAAAAAGCTTTCCAAATGACAAGTTATGTTTGCCTTCCCATTCGGGACAAGGTGTTTCAAACAGTGCATTTCAACCTCTGGGCTATCCTTCAACTGATCAGCGGAAGTTATCGGGGGAATGTGCATCATCTGAATGGGAAGCTCGTCAAAGGAACCCTGAAGTCTCCTACAATAGCTATGTGGAATCAAGTGTGGCATCAAATGTTCCAAGCTCGAATCATGGCTACCACCCTGAATCAGTCAGACCTTGGAGCCATTGGATTTCATCATGGGAGAACCGAAGTAGTAGCTCAGTTCAGAAACCCATGCCACTCCAAACGAATCCATTCTTGAATTTTAATGCACAACCAAGAGCAGATTCGAGTTCTGAGCCGAGAAGAAACGGGCTTTACCAAGGCTTCTCTTCAGGATTGAAGGAAACTGCCTATAATTTTCCATCAGGAAATTCTAACTATCTTAACAACGGCCCAAAAGGTGCAGTTACAAATGGTTCTTTCAGTGAGGTTTTGAAGCATCAGAGTCTTGAAAACCTTCAAGGACCAAAAAAGCAGGAGTGCTCTGCTGGGTTTCCCTGGATAAAACCTAAGCCCCCTAATAAAAATGGAATCACCAATGGGGGCTTGGATTTGAATGCTTCTGCAAATGAATTCATGGATGGAAGTGAGGAGAATGACAACTTGAATAATGTATATCCTAACAATGGTTTGAGGTCTGTTTCATGTTCAACTGACGCCAACTTGGGACATGTTCAAATGGCTGATTCACAGAGTATTAGAAAGATATTTGGGTGCCCGATCCCTCAGAAGCATTCTATTTGTGAGGAGCACCCTTCCCTTTTTCCTTCTTCTGTCTCTATCACCAATCAACCCAAGAAAGTTAACACCTTGGTGAAGAGAAACCTCGATATCAACCTGCCATGTGAAGCCTCAGTTTCTGAAGCTATTGTCGTAGACAATGGAAAAGGTAAAAAAGCTGCCACTTACAGGCAGCACATTGACTTGAATTTCTGTGCTAACGAGGATGAAGATTCCAGCTTATGTTCTAATCCAAGAGCGGAAACAAGAGCAACTTTTTTGATAGACTTGGAAGCTCCCCCAAATCTTGAGAGTGAAGAAGGAGGGGAGAAAATTCCAGAGAAAAGAGGTGAAGACACTTGGGTATCGGAAGCTGGAGATTCAGTGGATGAATTCATTAAGGCAGCAGCAGAAGCTATAGTTACCATCTCACTGTCTCCCCATTGGCGCAATACTGATGACGCTGCTTCCTCTTCGACCGATGCAGTTGCCAAGGACCCGCTCTCTTGGTTTGTGAACACAATAGCTTCTTGTGGCAATGATTTAGAGAAAAAGATTGCCTGTTTGGAAACCAGAGATTGTGAAGGCTGCCCTGAAGAATGTTCTTCAGGGGAGTTTGATTATTTCGAGTCAATGACTCTGAACTTACCCCAGACCAAAGAAGAAGACTACATGCCAAAGCCTTTAGTCCCAGAATATCTGAAATTCGATGAGAACGGTTCTACGGGTATCACAGCTAACCGGCCAAGAAGAGGACAAGCAAGACGAGGAAGACCAAGGCGGGATTTCCAAAGGGATGTTCTCCCAGGCCTTTCTTCTCTATCCAGGCTTGAAGTAACCGAAGATCTTCAGATGTTTGGAGGACTTATGAAAGCCACATGCTACAATTGGAACTCAGGAGTGGCCCGAAGGAGCTCAAACCGAGGAAGAAAACGACTGGTCAACAACATTGACAGAGCTCCGGTTTGCTCGTCTTTGGCACAGCCAGTTAGTAACAACAGTGTACAAATGGTGGGATTGGAAGATAGGAGCCTTACAGGATGGGGAAATGCGACTAGAAGGCCAAGAAGACAAAGATGCCCTGCAGGTACTCCCCCAACTGTGATCCTAACGTAAAGTTTTTTCATGAAATAAATCCGATTTTCACGGTTTGAGGAACGTTGTAGAGGGAACAAAACCAGAGAAAGTAACAATGGACAAAAACTGATTCAGCGAACGATGTCTTTTTATTTTCAATCACCCCATGTTTATGGGTGTTGGTTGCCCTTTGTATATCTTATCTTCTCTTAGAAGGGCCAAAGAAAAGACAAACATGATTGATTTGTATTAGGCTGGTCGGTTATTACAAAATTTGCATCTGTTTTCTATTGGCTCAAAAAGAATATATAATTCATACATTGCTTTAAACTAATCAATGATGTTAAGAGAGTATGACATGTTCTTCATTCGTTGATCTATAAATAATCTGCCTCAAGAGTTATATTCTGGAGATTCCCAAGAAACTTGTAGATATCCTCTGTTTGAAAACAGGGTTCTTCCCCAGCTCCAAATCTGAAAACTTTTTTATCAATCTCAATTGCGCTGTACCCAGGAACTTTTTTGAGATTCGAACTCTTCATAGCCGATCTCATTTTCCTGAATTCTTCCCATTCCCCTTCTTCACCATATATATTGGACAAGAGTGTATAGTAACCCGTATCATCGGTAACAATATCCGAAAGATCATTTTTTATGGCTTTGATGGTATCCATTCTCTTATGGATTCTGCATCCATTGACCAGAGAACCCCAAACAGTAGCATCAGCTAGGAAAGGCATATCCTTGATGGTTCTATACGCTTCTTCGAGTTCACCAGAACGGCTCAACAGGTCGATGAAACAGGCAAAATGCTCCGAGTTTGGTATGATGCCAAAAGATTTCATCAAGTTAAAATAGAACTTCCCTTCTTTAACGGAACCAGAGTGACCACAAGCAGAGAGAATATTCATGAAGACAACTTCATTAGGTTTTGTTCCCGATTCTACCATTTGATTGAATGTGGATATGGCAGATCCTACCCGTCCGTGCATTCCATAGGCATTAATCATACTACTCCATGACACAATGCTCCTAGTCGATATGGTCCTGAAGACAGTTTCAGCTGTGTTGAGATCTCCACATTTGGCATACATGTCAATTAGAGCTGTATCAGTGAAAAGATCCTTTAAACCGCAATGAATGAGCTTGTGGTGAACCCATTTCCCTTTATCCAGTGTACCTATGCTTGAGCATGCTTGAATAACCGCCAAAAATGTGACTTCATTCATCTCTAGGCAGCTATGATACATATACTCGAAGAGGTTAATTGCCTCTAAGGAGTTACCATTCTGTGAAAACCCGCAGAGCATTGAGTTCCATGTCACAACGCTTCTATGCTTCATTTGATCAAATACCATGCATGCTGAATTCAAAAATCCGCTTTTAGAGTACATGTCTATCACCGAGTTCTGCACAAACTCATCTGAAACATCCGTCCTTATAACATGTCCATGAATCTGTTTCCCTAGCGGGACTAAACCAGTATTCTCGCATGCAGAGATTGTGCTTGCCAAAGTGAATGAATCTGGTTTTATTCGCCGTGTCACCATCAGTCTGAACAAGCACAATGCCTCAATCGACATACCTTTGTGTGCATAAAGAGATATTAGCGAGTTCCATGACACAATATTACTATCACCAACCACATGTAAAACTGTCTCACAGTTGCTTAGTCTCCCGCATTCTGCATACAGTTCAACTAAGGCCGGAGAAAGCGACTCGTACTTCAGATCCAGCTCTCGTCTAACTGCAAAACCATGGACCGACTTACCTTCTCTAAGTAATCCAGCCAATCCACAAGAGCTCAAAACGCTGTGAAGGGTTATCAAATTCGGCTCAATTCCAGACTTTAACATCTCACTGAAACTTCTCAAAGCCTTTTCAGAGAACTTGCCCCGGTTGTAACTAGAAATCATTGCTGTCCATGAAACAGCATTCTTCTTGACAATCTTGTCAAAGATTCTCTCCGAACTAAACAAATCCCCACACTTACTGTACATTGTAAGCAAAGAATTGCAAAGCATTTCATCAAAATCAAACATTTTCCTCGTTGTCTGGCCATGAACTGATCTAGCAATCCTCAAGCATCCAAGCTCAGCGCAACCTTCAACAATGCTGATCATCGTCACAGCATCGGGCTCAATACCATCATCCACCATCCATTTAAATATCCTCAATGCTTCGAGTACCTCACCATTTTCAAGACAGCTAGAAACAAGAGTACTCCAAGCCACAAGATCTCTAACAGGCATTCCATCGAACACCTTCTCTGCATCGCTTAAATTCCCCGTTTGGCCATACATACACAACAGAGACGTTTCAATCACAGCGTCGTCGTCTACACCGCTTTTGATAATCCTCCCGTGAACTTTCTTACCAACACCCAGATAATCCCTCGAACCCGCACAAGCTCTCAAAACAGATGGAAACACGAACTTGCTGATCTGGGTCTTCTCCAATACCAACCTATGGTACAGATCAATGGCGGTGTCGAGTAAGTGACACCAAACGTTGCATTTGATGAGAACGCCATACATGAATGAATCAGGGTAAGGAAATCCTTCGAAGACCAGCCTAGACGAGTCTGGAGAACCCATGAAAGCGTATGATTCTATGAGCTTTGTCACAGGAAGAGGGTCTCGACGGAGACGACCAGTGACGAGGAGATGGGCATGAAGCTGACTTACTGATCGCAAGTTTGAACATAATCTAAACAATGGCATGTACTGCGTCATCTTCAACTGATCAAGAACATTAACAAACAGAGAAAAAGGAGAAGTCTTTGGGATATTTTTGCTTTGTTCTGCTGAGAAAATGGATTTATAAACAAGATTCAAACGTAGATTACATTAGAGGAAGACTTTATTTTGCTCCCAGTATCATCATCAACACAAAAAGGGTAGCTAACATCTGAGGAGATAAACATGAAAGAATGAAGAAATATTGCACAAGAACACATACAAATAAACTACTGAGTAAAGTAAACTGTTCTTGATTTTGGGACGAGGTTTTGGTTCATGGGCGTTGATAGACGTATTTTGTTCTTGGATCAACGATTAGACCTTTTCCTCCGTTAACTTCGAGATCATGCCTGCAAATTTTCTCACAACATTTAGTAATTACAGATTTACAACAAATCCAGCTCTGGAAAACAATTTAGAGAGTGAACTTACTGGAAAACAAAGTCTGGGATTGTCAGCTGCTCACGAGGAACATATCTGAACAGTTGCAGAAGTCGGTCTGCATATACAACTTTCTTCCAGACCTTATCAGGTTTTTCGGAATGGAACAAGGGAAAGACAAGAGCAAATTAGACTTCTTTAGAATAAGTTGGGTTTTAGGAAAAAAACTGGGACTTTGAAATAAGTCGGGACTTACCACATTATCAACAAACAATTGCATAGCTAAGACTGTAGCCTTCAAGTGGAAAGTTGGATGAAGAACATAGATTGCCTGGACGGAGAAGAAATAATCAGGCTTAGGACGAGGAGGAACCTTCCCTAATGAGATTGAGTATTTGTCATTTCATACCTGAAGGTTACGTTGGTGTTTGCGACCAAGTATTTGTTGTAATCTTTTCATCCATCCTAAATCTGGTTGGCTGTTTATTATTCACATGGAAAAATCAAACCCATAAAAGCAAAAAAATGTTATTGAACTTTATAAAGCACAAGGATCTTTTTCCACTAAACAAGAATAAGAATCAACTTACACTTGTAAAGATGCTGCAGAATGGAAATAGACAATCGAGTAAGGCTTTTGTATCACAGGTTCAAATTCCTGTAAATTTGCCATCAATTGTCGTATAGTCAGACACTATATAAGGTCAACGAAAATCAAACCAAGATAGTTTCAGAGACTGTGTTGCAGTGAGTTGGAGAACCATTGAGGTATGCATTTGCGTGCTTACCTTTATAACATAAAGCACAAAACGCTCAAGATCCAGACATCGCAGTAAAAAGTGAGCTCCTACAACAACCATTACAGGATGACCCTCGGTGTCAACACCTCCGCGGTAGCTGAAGAAAGAAAACAGAAAGGGATTCGTCAATATCTATTACAATATACAATCGCCAGGGCATATGAAGAGAGAAAGAAACCCAAGGACATAGAAACCATACACAATTTTCATCTCTGCAATTTCAGAAAGGTTGAGAGAATTAGCTTTCGCTAGGTATCGTGAATGAAGTGAGTATTCCTCTGCCGCAGACAGAGGGGGTCCTCCTAGATCACCAAATCCTAGTAATTTAACAAAGTTGAATCCACTTTGTGCTTGTGCAGTCTTCTCCCATTGTTCTTTGCGCCTTTCATCTGGATCTTTAATCAAGGACATGAAGGCTGGATCCAAATACGAATCAAGATGATTCGAGTTCCTGAAATTTTATGGCTATCAATAGGGTGAAAATGGTAAGGCAGTTAACTGTGAAGACTGTAGCAGCCAGATTTCACCAACCTGCGTAACAAAGTAAGATCAGTAGAAGGGCGCTCAAGTGGAGTTGGAAAAGATCTAGGTGGAGGTTTATTTGGCAGAGCCTGTATTCTGATTTTACGTTCGTCTATAACCGTCTCACCATTTTCATCGCCAACATCAGCCGGGAGCTTTGATATGGCAACCTCTTCCTCATGTTCATCTCGAGGAAAGTAAAGTGGAAGTAATCTGCATTTAAAGAGTCAAATTTCGACATTGCTTCTGCATTACATAACTATACGCAATTATGGTATCTGTGAATTATATTTATTGCCAGCAGTTTGTACATGCTATGGTCTTTATGTAAATAATTCTGAAAGCAATGGTTCTCAAAAATGAAAATGAGTAAATCAATTACTGGGATAACACAAAATAAGTAAAGGTTCTCGTAAGCCAGTTGCAGAAACTCTAAGATACCTTTTGTATATCTCCGTATCTGAGGATGTGGTGGTGCAGAAAACAACAGCACTAATTTTATCCTTTTGCTTCTCTAGAAAGCGGCGTACAGTTCCTAAAATCGCACAACACACGAGTTGGAAACTCAAGAGTCACTCATCAAAAGTAAAGAGACTGTTCAAATAAAAGAAGATTTAGCTTACTTATGGCAACATGAGCAGCTGGTTCTCGGGGATAGTTTTTGGCTTCTGTGTATATACAGCCCATAGCGATACTGCAATGTAGTATGCAAACCAAAACCAAGCTCTTGAGTTTAGAAATCACGAAATGACAAAAGAATCTGATTGGTGCAAATAAAATAAAGAAAACTAGAATGTCATTTCACACACCTTTGAAGCCCACTATCTATGAGAAGCTCCAGACAAGATCTATAGCAATGACTTAGAGCATTCTCGGCAGCTGTATGATACTTTACTGCATACTTGGGTCCTACTGTATGGATAACCCTCCTGAACAAAAAGAAAATTAAAAAAAAATTGGAGTTTGGGATTAATTAAGGCATAAACCTATTCCGCAGTTTCAACTAAAGTCGAACCGAATATTTAGTTTTTAAGAGATAACATGCCTTTCCATCTTAATTTTAAAAATTCCTCAGAAATCACAGGACGTAGTATTCACACAGACACAGTAATTGAGGGAGAAGCTCTATCATAGGGACAAGGATAGTTGAAGAATCGAGTAGAGACTAGATTCAAGGAGCACATTTTTCTTTCTTTTTTAGTCCTCTAGGTAAATAATGAATTTATCTTAAAGCGTCTTCTCCATCACCAATTACCTCGCTGGCAGATCATAGGCATTTGTTACTTTGGCCATCCCTGTCCTGCATCCACCCTGTAACGAAACAAAGAATCGGAGAAAAATCATCTTTCACGCAACCATCAAAAAGACAATACATAATATAATGCTTTTTCATTAATATGTTATAAAATTCGTGAGAGAAAGTGTCAATACCAACGTAGCACATTGTTCTGCAAGTCCAGGACCAGCAGCCACATGTAGACCAGGACTGCTATGTGCCTCATCCAAGTTCTGTCCTCCAGTCCAAGAAAACCAACCATATAAAAAAGAAGTACATAACTTGCCCACAAACAAAGCTAATTTCATGATCTCAGCTTACCTCATTTGTCGAATTCACAACAGCATCAACCTCAAGGTTCCATGGTTCCCCTCTCCACAGGTATATTCTGGAGTTTATCTCGTGATCAACAGGAAACTTAGATACCATCCCATTCCCACTACTTCCTGCTTCGGAAGATGAAGCTAATGGATTGGCGTAACGCGGATTAGAATGTTCAGGATCACCTGTTTCACCCTCCAAAGATGACCTCTGCTCAACATCACTCCACCGTGGAATTTGATCCAAAGTCACCACGTAATCACCACTCTCTGTTGGAGTTCCTCCACGAGAGGTCGTCGCCGTGGGAATGGCCTGATACATCATCGCAGATCACACAAGAAACCTCCTTATGTCCCTGCCAAAAGCTTATTCATTTAAGTAACTGAAAAAAACTGAAACTTGAGTTAGCAAGTTGGGAAAATTCACAATGCCCAAGTAAAATTACGTAGGCAATCATCGAAATTAGATAATCAGATCATACTGATGCAATTAAAAACCTAATATTACAAAATCAATCCAATCCCGAGTGATACAAAAAGAACAGAAAAGGGAAAAAAAAAAGATTAAAACTTTAAGATAGTGAAGATAATTCTAATCTAAAATCCACGAGCTTCTCCACAAAATCGATAATAAGAAACCCAGAAGTCGTGAGATTGAGGATTCACCTGAAATTCGAGAAATTGATTCACGAAATCGAATCTGACGATACCCTAATCTGTATTCAACTTCATTGCGCTAGAAGAGAACAAATTCAACAACTATGATGATTTAGATGGATCGATGAGGTTAGTGGAGAAAACATCAAAAACCAGCTACGAAATTGAGTTGTCGTTTAAGCGAATATACCTCAATGCTTCACAACCCTCTCACTCATCGAGAAGGTCTGAAAAAAGAGTCAAACATATAAATAAATTAAAAAAAAAAAAAAAAAAGTGAATTCGCCAAGTCAGAGCCGTTAAAACCGTCACGGTCACGGGAGCTCACACCGATGGCACGTGCATATTGGTCTACTAAGCAACGGCGTCGTTTCGTCTACTGCTCCGGTGTCTTCTTTTGCGTTTCGCCATTAAAAGTAGAAAAAGCATCACGGTGGATCAACGAAGGAGAGAAAGAGAAAGAGAGAGGCTTTCTTCTTCTTCTTCTTCTCCTTCCCTTCTCGATCTTCTATTAATGCATCTGCGTATCTAATTTGAAAGATTTAACGGTAAGTAAAAGTTCAATCGCTGTTATGTTTCCATGTATTAAGGAACCTAAAAATCGAATTTTTAAACCTAAATTGATCTCTTTGATCTATGGCGTCTTCTGCATCTGAATGCCATGTGAATTTATGTTCGCCATTGTTCTGATCTGTATCATGTTTCAATTGTTCATGTCCCCGTAATTTAGATTTTATATACATATTTGAAAGTTGGTTCCTTTAATTCGAAAACAGCTTTGAGAATTTAGGTAGCTCCATTAATGCTCTTATTCTTATGACAAAAGATACTGCTCATCTGTTGGAAATAGAATAATGCTGATTCACGGACATTATACGTGGACTAGGATATTCAACTTTATTCTGAAAATGTGCTTCTTTTTCGTATTTGCGGTTTGCTAAATTAGCTATGATTCTTCTTCACTTGTTGTCCAGGCTGGTAAAAATGATGGGTATTGGTCAAAGAAGCTCTTTTCGATCTGGGAGGGTTACTGGGTAATGTTGGTACAGTGGCTCAGGTTTTTAAGTTTTGGTGATCTTCCTCAAGTTTGATCAAAATGTGGAGCTTTGCGTCGAATGTTATTGGGAGTATGGGGCTTAAAAAGTCCCCTAATAATCCAGCTAGGGACTCTTCGCAATGCTCAGACGACGAGGTTTCGAATGTTAGCAGGGATGAAGAAGGATTAGAATGCCCCATTTGTTGGGAATCTTTCAACATTGTCGAGAATGTTCCTTATGTGTTATGGTGTGGTCATACTCTTTGCCAGAATTGTGTGTTTGGGCTTCAGTCTGCTGTCTTGAGACTTTCGAGCCAAGATATCAGGATTCCATTCTTTGTCTCGTGCCCGTGGTGTCAGTTGATGTCATTCAGGATTGTCTACAATGGCAATCTGAAGTTCCCTCGGAAAAACTTCTTCCTTCTCTGGATGGTAGAGAGTCTGAATGGTGACAGGACAAGTCAAGGTTCCTTGGTCAGCGATAATCAGCAATCTGTTTTGACTCCGAGGTGTAGCATGTCACTGGGAAACCACAGCAGCAGCAACAATTCGATTGCGAGGCCTTTATTGCGTAACCAGTCTACAGAAATTTTGCCACATCATGACCATAGTAGCCAACCAAGTAGACAACACTTCTCTTTTCACAAATCTCTTGATTTCTTCATCTCTTTCACTTCCAAGTTTCCATTTGTGATAATCTTTCTTCTGATCGTATTCTTTGCTATACCTGGTAGCCTCATCATTCTTGCCCTTTACTTCCTCCTCACAATACTTTTCGCAGTTCCAGCTGGTCTGGTGCTATATTTTGCTTACCCTATTCTAGAAAGGTTGTTAAATGAAATAACATCATCATGAGAATGGTGCTGAACTCATAACTCATATTATCGGTTGCTCGGCCCATTCTCTGTGTTTTTAGTTTGCATTGGAACCCTTTTTTAGCAATTGGAGTCTTTGATGGTCAGAACTCAGAAGAAGCTTTCTTTATTTGTGGTAGTTTTGCGCCTTTTATAAGAATATTTTATTGTAAGCTTGAGCAATGTACTTGTGATTTTGAACTATTGGTTCTAATATTGTTGTGCTACTGCTAAAGTTTTGGTTTGCCAATTTGTGCTATGATGAATCACATGTGAGTTATCTCTCTTATATTCGAATAGATAGACACCTTATATTTGTGTGTGCATTTTACATGTTTAACGATTGTTATCAGCAGCGTTAAAGAATGTATGTCTTACATTTCCTACAACTTGCAGAATTCAGAGACATGTTGAGGGTTTCCTTCCAGTTGCTCTCATGAGGTTTGCCTTCTCCTTAACCTTCAATTCTTCTTTCGTCTGACTCTCATAGGCATGTGCTCTTGCACTTGCAACGATGATCTCAATGCGTTCATTTTCGTCTCGGAACCTCTCTATCGCCTTCAACTTTGTTTTCTCTACACCTCTCTACACACATTCATCACATCGATTAGTTCTTTAGGTTTGCAAGAATCAGTTTATAGAACCAAATAGATGAGGAGAAAAAAGAAAGGAAAATACACCTCTGTTCTATGAAGCTTTCTCTTTGCCTTTTTCCTCTGTTTATCTTCCCATGACACAATCTTCTCACTTAGCTTTTCATACCTGCAAATCGTAAACCCATTAGGCTCTTAACAACAGTTCAGCATGATGATGAAGAAAGAAAACAAAACACACACTTCTTTCTTGTTTTTCCCATCTCGGTTTCCTTCCATTGATCCACCACAGCTGCCACAGGAACAGGTTTTGGTCGTTGCTGCTTGCTTTCGTTCATAACGCTACAGTTTGTTCAGAATCTTGAAATTTTTGATAGTATCATCAACTTATAAATGGATAGAATTGCATTTAGAGGCAAGGAAGGTGTAGTTTGTGAAAGGCTGCTTAAGCAATACCTTTCCCTTAATTCAAGTCATAAGCTTAAAGGGTTTCAAATAACTTGTCCTTTTTAGGATCCCTTATCATGTCAAAGAGATTCCCTGTCTCCAAATAGAAGTTTAATAATTGATGTGAGAACTGTTACGAAATTCATGTATATTCCGTCAATAAGTGCTTGTCTACAAAACCTTGCTACTCTTTGTGAAATTTTGTCCTGTTTCCTCAGATTTTGGGACATATTGTAATACATTTTAGTCACCCTGAGGAAGATTATTATTGGCAATCAAGTTCCATGATATCCAACTGAGAAGGCCCATTTAAATCAGAAAGCCCATCCTTATTTAATACTCCAAAGCAAGAGGAGAGAGATACTGCTCCCAAATTAATGGAACTCATGTGTTTCTCTTGGTTTCTCTCAAATCTCAACCTCTTTAAGCCTGTCTCAATCACAGCAAAGTATGGAGACCTTTTTTCAGATAACTTTTGGTTGTTGATACAGTAAGATAATGGAAGTGAAGAGCAATATCCTAATTGGCAAATGAACTATTTCCAAGCTTGTTTCTGACCTATAAGCCCAAATACAAGCGTGGAAATAGCACTAAAGATTTTCTCATAAACGTAGTTGTAGTTGCACAATACAAAACAGATCAAGAAAGTAAGTAAAAGAACAAAGATTTACAAGAAAAGACTGACAAGAACCCTGGTTAGCTAGCTCGCTCGTCTCTTCAACAAGAAGGGTTTCGTGTTTCATCAGTTGTGAAGTGGGTTTGGACCGGAGGGAACGAGTCTTTTCTCGACGCCGTACCTTTGGTCAATCTCCGACGGAGGAGGCGGAGGAGAGAAGAGTGGTTGTCGACTACTTCTGTGGATTCTTTCGAGCTCAATGCACATAGAGCGTGCGTATGGACGAGAGAAAGACTCGCATGAACGGTGAGGATATGCGTAGTACGCGTGTTGAACCCTAGGAACGGTTCGGTTACTCCAGTTTCCTCTTGCTCTTGCCGTCGTAAGAAGGAAGAAGATGATCAAGATATTGATCGGACGGTTCCCGTTAATCTTCATAGTTTGAGAGAGAAAGAGAGATAGAGAGACTTCGATGGCGTTGTTGTCCAATAGAGAGAAAGAAAAATAGAGCTTTAATATTCTTGGAAAAAGAAAGGTGTGTGAGAGAAGTGAAGATATTGGTGTTTTAATGCAAACATCAGAGGATACGTATGTATTGATTATTATGAATAGACAAAATCTAGGTTAAAATAAGAGGGTGAAATTTGGGAAAAATGAAAGATGGGTCTTTATAGGAAAGTTACATTTTCCATAACCATTCATAAATGTGAATCCGTGACGTTTGCACATTCCGAACCATAAATTTCACTTTTTTTCTTTCTGTAATTGATTTGTTTCAGAACAAAAGTGTGAAAGATTACTGTTAGATATGGAAAAAATTCAAGAATGGCCAATAAATATGTATAAGTTATATTGTAGCTGTTTTCGGTGGTTTCGTGATCCTTAAGTTATCTTCATTCTTCATTGTTTTTTGCGATATCTCTTCCTCCACTTACTCTGTTTTGCCAAGACTCTTCAGTAAACGAAATGGTTCGAGTTTTTTTTTGTAGAAGTACCAAACACCTACATAAACTCTACTTTATATTAGGTTTTGGGTTAGTTTCTGCTAGAGCCAAACCCAAATCCTTAACTATTCATTGCGGGTTCGCTCTTGCTTGGATCATCAAGAAACAAAGAGTGATCTTGAACCATGCTTTCTCATGTACTTTATTTCTTCCATAGCTTAGACTTAAAAGAACATTGAATAAAGATTGCTTAGTAAATAAAGCAGCAAAAGTGTTCAGGAGCTGCAGACACTATTATCTCAGAATGGTATATACTAACTAGCATTGGACTATTGGTAACAATGAAGCAGGGGAGGTTCTGACATTTCAATCTCAGGGCCATATGAAGTAGTAGAGATGGCTTCTAGATGTAGTAGGCCCCTAATAAGTACGGCCCATGAGGATAAATAGATTAGGCCCAAATATAAGGGTTTATGAAAACAGTGTATTGAGTTTGACATAAGATTACTATTTCTGTTTTTGGTCATAGAAAATGGAATACTGATAGACAAATTAGTTGGTTCCATTGGTTGATTTGAGTTGTGAAAGTGAGTGTCGTTGTCGAGAAAGGAGCAAACGTGGTCATTTTAGAATCATGGATGATTCGTAAATCTATCTATCTTTCAGATTTTGCAATAATGATTATGATTTCATAATAATTAAATGTTATAAAGTAAGTATAATGATGATTATTAAGAGAAAGACTAATTACGTTATTAAAAAACCATGACGATAGATTGTGTGATTCGAAGTAGCTAGAGTTGAAGGTTCATCGCTCCTGACCGAAGAAGAAGAAGAAGGAAGCCACAGGCACTTGACTTTTATGTCGTCACACTTTATGACTCGATCTTGCACCCTTGGCCCCCCCCACCACTTTTGTCGACGCGTTCTCAATCTCATTTTTGTTATATACTAATTTGTGTTTTTAAATATGATTAAAGAGTGCTTTAGTATTGTTGGTTTTTTTTAATTAACGGTGTAGTACATTTCGTGACGATATTTATTAGACTACACAATATAATGAGTGGAAACCACAAACATTGTTCTTAAATTATGTGTACGTTCCCACCAAATTTGAGTTATTTGCACTTTTTTTTATTTCCTTCAGTAGAAATTTAATTAGCTGTGTGAAATCATTTGAGCATTATCTACATATTGGCATCATTTTTTAAAAAGTAAGTAAGAAAATATGGATTTTAAAAATAAATAAATTTGCCAAAGAAAATTCTATTGTGAAACACAAACCAGTAAGAATTTTGTTTTTCTCTATTTGTCACAAATCTAACGAAAAGTAGATTGCTTATGAATTAATAATTAATGTCATTCATGTTTAAGTTTACATTTTGTGAACACTAATATGAGAAAAAATAGGTTTGTAGCCTAGTAAATACTTAAATAAGTTATATATGAGAACCTTTTGTCTATAAATCAATGGATTCAATCGTAACATTACTATATTGTAAAGTTTTTTTCGGTAAAAGAAAAAGATTACATATATAAGTAGTTTTTAAGAGATAGTAACGAGAATAAGATGCACAAAATATATTTAAAATTACCAATAAACCCTATACAGTGTAACTAAAATACAGCCATTTAATGTTGATTTAATTTCCAACTTGATTCGCAGTTTCGCACCCATTATTGATAGATAGATACCTTTATAAATTATTTTCTTTTTGAGAGGACCATATATTATTGATACTCCCTATTCATAATCCATTATATACAATTTTCTTTGGTGAGGATATGAATATATATCAAATAAAAGGGCCTACGAGGCTATAGAATAGAGATGATGAATTGTGGAAATACAAGTGGATCGATCTTCTTCTTGCGTGTACGCACAAACGATTCTTTCGATGTATAGATGCGATATAGCGTTCTAATAGCACCAAGATCGATATAGGACCAAACCCATATATGGTAAAGAATAATGTTGCTATTTACAACTTTCTTTTAGAGACGATCATATTGTATCTTAATTCTTTGATCATATATATATATATATACACTCACGATAACCTAAAAATATTTTTATATATCCACATATTTTCACAAAAGGTGTAATATGCTATGGTTTACTCAATTGAGTTCTTTAATCTATACTTATAAAAACACACACACCATGGCATGTATTACAGCTGTATCTATTTGGTGTTAGCATAATACTATAGTAGTAGCGTGTGGTACATATGTAACATGTTTTCAACAATATTCTAATAATGGTTAGACATCACCTAGACATGTGTCTGTTTCTAATCCGTTTCTTTTACAAAATAAAACAGATATTTTTCGTAGATCCTTGTATACTATATATTAAAAATTTCGAAGTTGTTTTGATATATTTTATAATAAGGAACGTTTACGTGATTCTTGAAGATGTATGGTTGTGATTGAGGGCGACTTCAAACGTTTATTTTATGGATTATTGCAATTATTTTATATAGTATATGAGAATATAAAATAAGGAATAAACATGTGAATGTATATGATTTTTATAAGATAATCATCGATCATCATGACTTGTGAGGATTAAGAATTTCCACGTGGCCTGGTTAATTGTTTGTGGACTACAATACTTGTCATATCCAACACGGACAACACGCAGGAACCAATTATTTACTTTCTAACTAATTTTCAATCCAAAATTAAAAATAATATAGTCCTTTAATTCATTTTAAGTATGCCTAAAAAAAATATGCTTTTCTCCATCTCATCAAAGACTAATTAAGTGATTAAGTCGGTGGTATTTGTAAAGTTGATTAAAAGCTTTCTTTTTACCACCCAAGAAAAAAAAAAATCTCATAGGCTCATATAACAAAATATACTTACACAACTCAAACTAGGGTTTTAATAGTTTTGTTCGTTTATCTGTTTTTTTATTCATAGTTCCCTCACGGGATCAAGAAGACAGCAACTAAACTAGTTTTGTTTTGTAGTTACTGTATACAAAAACCATTTGTAGTCTGATAACAAGCCCCAAAAAAATATTGTAATAATTGTTGATTGATATATAACCAATCATTATCGTAATAATCCACCAACGACTATAAGATAAATACTAAAACATCTAATTGTGCTAATCGCTTGTTTGCTATATAGTTTCGTCGTCTTTGAATTTTTAATAGTGATCAAAAAGTCTCATTCATGTCTTATTAAAACATATTGAAGAAAACAAAAGAGTAAATGCAAATCTCCGACTCTAAAAATAGGCGTCGATCTAGGAAGAGAGGGTGGAAAAAACTAAAAAGCAAAGATAAAATAAAGATACGAGCCCCCACCTTCCTTCGTCTCCTCAACAGGAGCCTCCCGTTCCGTTTCACTCTCGACCCTTTTGATATTGACGTCCCCATTTTTTTCAACCTTTCTCTCTCTCTCTCTCTTGAATTATTATTATACATTTTTGTGTGTTTACGCAATTTCCAAAATTTATTAAAATAAAAATTAAAAAAATCTCTCGTTCGGACAAAGAAAGAGAGAGAGACACTCTGTGATCGGTCCTTGACGAGACAGTGCACTTTAACGGGCTTCAAAGTTTTTTGCTTTTCTTTTCTTTTCTTTTCACTCTCTCCTCGTTCTTTTTCTTTCTCTTCCAATCAAGAACAAACCCTAGCTTCCTCTCTTTCTCTCTCTATCTATCTTCTTATCAGTAGTAGTACTCTCTCATCAGATCAATCATCATGAACGATCCTCCTGATCTGAGAAACGACGACGACTCTGCTGCTTGGAGAGAACTCACTGCTTCAGATTCTGACTTCTTTGACAGAGACACTTCCACTATCCTCTCCGACTTCGGCTGGAGCCTTGACCACTCCTCCGATCATCCTCGAAATCTCTCCGATCTTGCTCCAACCACCACCAAGACTCATCCTTCCTCCACTTCTTCTTGTTCCTCATCCGTTCTCGTCGCCGTTACAGAGGTTTCCACACCTACTACTAACCCCTCCGCTACCTCCAGCTCAAGCGATGATCCAGCTGACAACTCCGCGGCCAAAACACCACCGGAGACACCGTGAGTTTTTTTTTCTTACCGAGACGAGATACACGTGTCTTCCTATTTTTACAGGGGTCCGATCGTAATTTACCTCATCATCTTAGTAGTGGTGGTGGTGGGGAGGGTTTTTTTTTTTCCTTTTCCTTGTGGCCAAAGCCAAAAACTCTTCGTTTCATTTGTTTATCTTCTTGTTGTTGACACCTTTGCCAAGAAAGAGATGAATCGTCCGTACAGTAGATAATTGCAGAGGGAGAAATTAGTAATTTTAGGATGAATCGTCGGTGGTGGTACTTAGAGAGGTCGAGAGACAATAATGATGAGAGGGGAATTGGGGAGGAACAACACCGCCGCTATTGCGGCTGTGATATGTAGCTAGCGTGCACTCTACATCTTCTTTTGCTCCTCGTCCTTTTTTTTTTCTTTATTTATTATACTAATGTTAGGTCAAAAAGTGTCTCACGTTTTAATGATGTTTATCTTGTAAAGTTGAACAAAAATCTTTTAAGGTTCTTGTCTTGTAATTCGTGAAATCATACGCTGATAAATTGATATGTAGGGTTTTAACTTAACTATCAACAATGAAATGTCGATGAACATGTTATTATATAGCAATGTAGAATAATGATGAGTTCTTATAATTAATGTTGATAGTACTCGTTCTGAACTCAAGTAACGTTTATAAGTTTAATTGCATATTATTAGGATTAGAATTTATGTTTTGAGAGATCTTGTAAAATTTGACGGCTTAGTTGATTGGTTACTCTGTGATTCTGAGCATGGTGATATACATTATACTAATCTCTTGGTGTGTTTTTTTTTATAGATTGAAGGAGAAAAAGAAGGCTCAAAAGCGAATTCGTCAACCGAGATTTGCATTCATGACGAAGAGTGATGTGGATAATCTTGAAGATGGATATCGATGGCGTAAATATGGACAAAAAGCTGTCAAGAATAGCCCATTCCCAAGGTCTTCTATATGTAATTAGTTTCTTTCGATCATTCTCTTATATAATGAGAAGAGTTCTCATTGTTGCTGTGATACTATAGGAGCTACTATAGATGCACAAATAGTAGATGCACGGTAAAGAAGAGAGTGGAGCGGTCATCAGAAGATCCATCCATAGTAATCACAACATACGAAGGACAACATTGCCATCAAACCATTGGATTCCCTCGAGGTGGAATCCTCACTGCACACGACCCTCATAGTTTCACATCTCATCATCATCTCCCTCCTCCATTGCCAAATCCTTATTATTACCAAGAACTCCTTCATCAACTTCATAGAGACAATAATACTCCTTCACCGCGGTTACTCCAATCTACTACTGAAGATGCACCTACCATATCTAATCCATCAGAGGAAGGCTTACTTGGTGATATTGTACCTCAAACTATGCGCAATCCTTGAGGTAATTTGCGTGAGTTTCTCTATATGTACATGTTTGTGTTTGTTAGCTAGTGTTCGTCTATATATAGTCTTAGTGATCAGTAACTATAAAGAGATATATCAAATATATTGTCTTTTGGTTTGGAAGGGTTATGAGAACTTCAAAAATGGACCACAAAGGCATAAAGGGTTTTTCTTTTCTAGTCCGAAACTGAAAATTCACATCAAGAGATATATCTTAAGTGGGATAAAATTCTCATGCTTTGACAGAAACAAGTCTATCTCATGTAGATGTACTTAATTATGAATATTAGAATCAATATCGTGTTGGTCTAATCATTGATGCGACCCATTATCTCTCTTGTGGAACAATTTGGATCACTCGCTAGTAATGTCGGCCAGTGCTTTTCTTTCTTTCTCTAGTATTCATTTTTGCAGGACATATATAATTTGGGTGATGCATGCATATAAAATAAGTGGATGATTGCCTCTAGCTCTCTCTATCTTTCTCTCTCTATATATATATATATATATATCTTTATATGTGTGTATATATTACTAGTGATTGTATTAGGATCAAGCACTGGTATAGTGCATGCCTTTTGTCTCACTCCCTCTTGCTATAAGGCATATATAGGCTTACTTATGTATGATAGAGATGAGCCAGAAAAGGGTCGGCAGGTTTATAGAAATGTCAACAAATATTTAAAACGAAGCTCAACTACTCCACTCAGTGTCACGATGATGCTAAATCTCCCTTTTTCCATATATATATGTAACTTTTTGTGTGTGTTCACATGAACACAATTTCTTGTATGCGTGATTCTATGGCCTGCATGGTGCATCAATCTGTATTCTATATATGCATATGTATATATGTACATACCTACATATAAAGAAGTACACGGCATGTGGGATAAGTTCTGAGGGTAATGTTGTTAGGTCATAGGAATAAATGCTTTCTGTTTTAGCCAAAGACAGCCAATAAAGATAAAGGGGATAAAACGAGTAAGAAGAGACGTATGCAGCATCTTAGCTTAGCTTTACTATATTTGTAGTACGTTCATTTGTGTGTATATATATATATAAATAAAGTGTGTGTATGTAGTTTGTTTTGGAAACATTTGTAACGAAGAAAGCTAGATAATAAGATAAGCATGACCAAATTATATACCATTGTAAATGAACAAGAAATGTCTCTACAACATTACCATATGCTATTTCCAAGGATGAAATGTAACATATATATCTGCCTTGTTTGATATAATCTCACAGGGAAGCTTTGGTAACAATAGCTAAGGAGGTGCTAACTCATATTGGTAGAAGATATTGCAGACTGGAAAATGATGGGAGGGTATAATTAAACAATATGGCCACAACTCGTTGTAACCATGGATCTAATATATAACTATATATATTATAATATATAACTATATATATTACTCCATTGTTCATCAATAGCACCTCACTACTGGTAGGTTCGCAATTTCTAAGAGATATGTATATATATATATATATATATGTAGTAATGTATGTAGTTATATATATCCAGATAATTTTGATGTAACTCATCAACATTAATCTACTTCAGTCGTGGAATCATCCACATTCAGATGCATGTATATGTGCACTTAAGAAAAAAAGAACGTGGAGGATTTGACGTTATATTTATTATTCTACTTTTACGTTTCAATTTTACAATTATTAATTTTATACTTTTTATCTTTACAACTTTAGGGTGATATCTAATTTACCTTTATGAACTTTACAGATTATTAAAATCAACAACAACACAAGAAAAACTTTACAGATTGCAAAAGAATATCCCAATTCATATTGGAGAAACAGAAGTCGTAAAGAAAATATCATGTGGGCATATATTGACATGGATACTCTGAGGGACAGTATTGACGTATATATACGTTAAATGTGAATGTAACGAAAAATCTATAGATTAATGTAGCTAGCTAGCATGTTTTTGTACGTTGGTCATGATCAAAAAGACGAGGTGATATGTAAAACTGCTTGGCTGCCATAGTAAAAGATCTATTATCAAATCAAGTTTGACTTTTTACACATTTTGATCCAGACTATATATGTTTTGATTTTTCCACAACATAATATTTGTTTTTTTATTTAGACAATTCAATGACTTTATATGATGAACGAGTTATCTCTATGCCTGAAAATAAAATGAAAATTTAATTAGTCCATGATCATGCATCTGAATGTGGGATCAATGCAAGTATGGATCACAATTCTACGTACATATATATGTATGTCTTAAAATTCTATGATGTAATTTGTTGGGGTTGTGAAAATATCATTTTATCCACAAAACTATAAGACGTAGAAAACCATAACACACAAAACACAATTTCCCCAATGTTTACTTAGAGCAACATTATAGGTAGGATTTTAATTTTTTATCTTAGTATTAATTTATTATTAATCTTGAAAAAGTAAAGCTTAAGAGTTATAATTTTGTTTTTGGTTTTGAGATGTGTTTATTGGTAAGATCTTAAGTTGGGTATCTTAGAAAAAAAATAATTTTTATAAAATTAAATAAATTTATAGTTTGTAATTTTATAAAATTTTATAATTATTGCAGATTTAGAATTTGAAAACAAAGATATATATTTTATTATAATAAAGAAAGAAAGAAAGAAAAATTGTTTTTTGCATTATATATGTATTATAATGAGAGAGATAGAAAGAAAAAAAAATAAAGAAATTGTTTTTTTGCATTATATATTTATTATAATACCTACTAAAATTGGTTTACACAAAAAAAAAATAGCCAATAAAATCATGACACGTGGCCGCTTCTTACCACTTAATTTAGATTTTATGCAAGATCCTATCTTAGTAAAAGGAGTGTATTTAGCATTTAATTAAATAATAAATTTACTTAAAAATCAGCTAAGATCATCTAAGATCTTGATAATGTTGGTCTTAGTGCTGCCACTTTTCTTGACTCTCTCACTAGAAGGTGAAAATTCATGAGATATTATATTAGGAACTTTACGGCCCAGTATCCATGGGCTTAGAACTCAGAAGTAAACAAGACAACCCAAACAAAAGCAACTAAAGTTGTTCATAAATGTTTGAAACTGGACCAAACAAAGAAAAGAAAACAAAGTTTCATTGGAAAAAGCTGAGGCACCGACTACTACTACTAAACAGCTCTACTTTCAAGAATGTCCACACAAATAAACAAGAAAAAAATCATTAAAAATTTACCAAAAAAGAAGAAAAGAAAAGAAACAGTACTGTATAATGTTTTTGGTGGTGTGCAAATGCAAATGTGTGGCAACAGCACACGTGTCGTAGCATGACGGCAAAGGTTGTCTTGCGCACATGGCTCGTTTGGCTCTGCCCCGTTAATATAATCCCCCATGAGGCCATGACCCATCACCTCACCTCTCTCTCGACTCTTCTCCCTCATTTCTTCTTCTTGTTGTTGTTGTTTGTTACCGTTGGTTTTACTTACACAAAACTTGAAATGTCTTTTTTAAGAATCCAGCCAGTCTTCTTTAATATAGTACTAAATTGTTGGAAGAGTGGATGAATTGAATTTGTACGTGTTGTTGTTGTTGTTGTTTCGTAGAGGAACCGAAAAGGTATAAACTAAGTTTGTAATTTAAAAAATTAAATTAAAAAGTACATGGTGAGTTCTTAAGTTATAATATAGTATTATTATTTATTTAGTTCTGCATTACTCACTCGTAAACCATACTTTTGGACGTAATTTTTGACCGTTGCTAAAAAAATGAGATTTTTTGGGAAACAAAAGAAGAAGAGTCTTTTTAATTAATAAGAGAGGACAGGTGTTGAGAGAACTAAAACTCATCTGAGATACGTTAATCGAGGTGGTGGCAAATTTGGTAATTAATTATATAATCTTTCGGTGCGTTGGACAGTCTCTTATTACTACTACAAGACAAAAATGCTTTTATTTTTAATCCCTCCTCTATATCATTTGCACATGAAGATTGGTTCATGTAGGCTTATTTCACTAATCTCCTCTATAATTCAGTTACACTATGTGTCTCTATTTGATCTATGTTACTGACTATTAGTATTAAAGCATCAAGATGAAAAATGTTTAAAACACATTTAGTTTAATATCGTGTTCAAATTTATATCAATTCTTTGTAATAAATTTACACTGTTTGGTAACCAAAAAAAAGAAGATTTACACTGTTTCTCTACATCAACTTTATACAAATGTTAGCTACATAAATAGAATTATTTTGGATATTGAACCTAACTCACTCTTTTTAATAATTTTAGTTATATTTTAATTACTAATCAGTATATTTTTTCATAAGTAAATAAAAATGCTGCAAAAAGAGAAAGTGTTTGGACCATGGTCGTCTATAATTATATATCAAACATAGTCTCATACACACACACTTGCCGTTATTGTCTAGAACTCTCTCTCTCTTTCTCTCTAGTCTCGCTCCCCTCAAGACACATCTCTCACCGTCTCACACATCTCTACTGAAACCTAAACCAAGTTCGATCTAAAAAGCCTTTTCCTTTAGATTCTCTCTTCTCAATCAGATCTCTCAACTACACAATCATGTCGGTTTTACTCCCTCTCTGTCTGATTATCTCCATGTTTACCTATTCACGTAAGCCCTTCTTTCCTCTGTTTTGTTTTGTAATTAATCTCCAAAATGTTTCTCCTTTCTCTTAGATTTCGTCGAGATTTCTCATTTCTCACTGTATAGCGTCAGTTCTGACAAGTGGGTCTATAAAGATTTAGGCTTTTAGTATGAGATCTCTGATAAATACCTCAAAAATCTCAACTTCTTGTTTGAGCTTGAGTTCTGTAATGAATCTGACTCTGTTTTTTCTTTGTTTGGTGACAAAAAAATCTCAGATGCTGCCTACTGTGTGTGCAAAGATGGGAACGAGCAAGTGCTTCAGAAGGCAATAGACTACGCTTGTGGGAATGGAGCTGACTGTAGCCAGATCCAGCCCACCGGAGCTTGTTACCAACCTAACACCATCAAAAACCACTGTGACGTCGCCGTCAACAGCTACTACCAGAAGAAAGCTTCTACAGGCGCCACCTGTGACTTTAACGGCGCCGCCACCCAATCTCCGTCAGGTACTCATCTTTACACTTCAGATTTCAGATCAATTCTTGAATGTTTTCTCTTATGCTAATTGTTTTTGTTTCTTTAATTGCTGCTGCTCTTAAATCAACCTTGCAGCAACTTCAAGCTGTTTAAGTGGTTCAAGGTATGTTTCTAATTCTTGATTCATTCTTGTTTCCATCAGTTTAGTAATGTTTCGATTCTCCATAAAGTTAGAATTTTTTTTGGCTTTCTGGGTAGATTTGCTTTTTACCACCGACTCATCATTTTCTTTATTTTTTTTGGAATTTTGGTTATTAATTTGTCTTTGTGGAGACACAATGATAGTGATTTAAGACCAAATGAATAGATAGATAGACAAAGGAATCTTTGATTAAATGTTTTATTTTGCATCATTCATTATATCTCTATTCATTTCACCTTTACTAAAAAGAAGAGTTCATATCATAAACAGTCCATCATTCACATGATCCAGATGAGCATCATTATCATTTTGAACAATCATTAATTATCTTGTAATGAATATATCACTAATGTTTTTTTGACTATGTTGCAGCTCTAGTGGGACTCCAAGCACAGGAACGCCAACCACCGGAACCCCAACCAGTGGGACACCAACCAGTGGAACCCCAACTAGTGGAACCCCGACGAGCGGGACTCCAACCGGTGGGACTCCGACTAGTGGAACCCCAACTAGTGGCTTCCCAAACACCGGGACTCCTAGCACAGGGACTTCCACTGGGATGCCAAATTCCGGTACCCCGACCAATGGGATGCCAACTTCATCATCGTCTTCTGTGTTCCCGGGGACTACTCTTGGACCGACTGGTAGCGGACTAGGTGATCCAAATGCTGGAGAGAAGCTGTTAGTCCGAGCTAACACGGTCTTCTTCTTTTTAATCGGTGTAGCTATGCTTATCGTGAACGCTTAGAAGTGACGCACGCTGTTGTGGATGTAACTGGAATTTGCTGAGAGAGATCTTGCCAACGGGCTCGTCATGGTTGATAGAGCCATCTACTTTTTTTCACTCGTCTTTCTAGGGTTCTAGGGTTTGGAAATAGGTTGGCCGAGAGACATGTAATGCTGGTAGTAGCTAGTATTTTGGTATGTACAACTTAACTAAGAGCTGTTTCTTTGTTTTGTAAATCCGGAGGATGGGATGCTCTTTTGTTTCTATTCTTTTTTATCCTTATGGATCTTTTCATCTTTAATATGTTACCACCATTATTATTACAATACATAGCACATACATTCCGGTTACAACGACGATACAAACTCATGCAACTAAAAAAATACTTTATGTAAATATTTAAGGAATGGTATTTAGTGGTAGTCGTTTTCACTTCATCACTAATTTATCAAACAAAAACAATTTGAGGAAGCGCTTTATTTGCTAAGGATCAAAAAGAGTGTCTCTTTCGACGTGGGTTTTGTCTGCTCCAGGCTACTAAAACAACATGGGAAGTTGAGATGTTAATGGTCTTAAAAGTGTTAACGTAATGATTGTTCCCATTGAGCAAGAAACGTGTTAAAGCTTTTGGTGTCCTATATTAAGGTGGCTCCTAAAACTATATAAAAAAAAATGGGAAGACTTGGGAGTTGAAAATAGAGTTTACAATAGAAGAGTATATGGAATCAGTTGGGTTTCTTTTTGTGTGTTTTGGAATCGGATGCGGCTACTAGTGGGTGGTGTAGAAGAATCTGATCCTCTCAGCTCTTTCCAAAGTTGCTTTCCATTTTCAAGCTGATTCTTAAAGTTCGTTGATTATTTAGCTTACATAATGTTTTGCATCTCCTTTCTCATCTCATATACACAGGCTTTTTAACCAACTAGCTCTAGTGACCTTTTATTTTTTTTGTTTTTCTGTTGATCATCTTGGTGGCTCTCATTTCACAAAACACACACCATATCTTATTTGTGGCTCAAGTTCAAGATCAACATCAACATCTACTCAAGTTCAATATATCTCTTCACAGAAACTTCTTTTGCATATAATTCAGATATTACATCATGTAAAACATGAATATAACAAATATAGTGTTAGGGATTTGATATGGTATCAGAACTTTGAACTACACTGGAGACAACCCCTTCTAGTTCTAGAATAACAATCACCTCATATAGACATATACTGTCTTAAAATTATCGTATTCATCAAAATTATTAGTTTCAGCTCTGTATTAAAGTTCATAATCAGCTACCAACAAAAATCAGGTTGTAGCATCAATATTGTTACTTTTTTTTTGTCAATACCAAACTCATGGGAACTATGAAAAAGAGGCTGGGCTTTTCTGGCTGGCTATGGGCTTTGGTTGTACTATTTTGATTCATATGTAATTTCATAAAAGAAAACTAGAAAAGCTAAAAATAACGCTAGAAGGAGGGGTCGAACCTCCGACCTTGTGGTTAACAGCCACACGCTCTAACCAACTGAGCTATTCCAGCAACTTTGAATGATGTAATGCAAGATAACGATTTATATTGTAATATAACAAACCTCGAAAGCAAATTGAATATGGCGGAACTTGATCACTCTCAACCAGATGATCTTGCTTGTTTCATAGAATGTTCAGAAAAACTCTAACTTCAATCCAACGAAGACACTTCTCTTCGTCTTCTCCTGAAAGTCCTTCCCTTTACTCTTTCCTCAAACCCTCTCTCTTCTCCAACAAGCCAATCACTCTCACTCCTTCACTATCGCCACCTCAAAACCCCAAAACCCTAACCCAAGATCAAAAAGCGTCCTTTGAATCTGCCCTTCACGATTCCTTAACTGCCCAGAACACCGATGAAGCATGGAAGGCTTTTCGATCTCTCACCGCCGCTTCTTCCCTCCCCGAGAAGCGTCTCATCAATTCCCTTATTACCCATTTGTCCAATACCGAAGGAAGCGGTGAAAACACCTCTCATAGGCTCAAACGAGCCTTTGCTTCTGCTGCTTATGTAATTGAGAAAGATCCAATTTTGCTGGAGTTTGAGACTGTTCGTAGTGTTCTGGAGTCGATGAAACTGGCGAAAGCTTCAGGGCCAGCGTTGGCTTTAGTGAAGTGTATGTTTAAAAACAGGTACTTTGTTCCTTTTGATCTCTGGGGGCATTTGATTATCGATATCTGCAGAGAAAATGGAAGCTTGGCTGCGTTTCTTAAGGTGTTTAAGGAAAGTTGTAGAATTGCTGTAGATGAGAAGCTTGATTTTATGAAACCGGATTTGGTAGCGAGTAATGCGGCTCTCGAGGCGTGTTGTCGGCAGTTGGAATCTCTGGCTGATGCTGATAATGTGATTGAATCTATGGCTGTTTTGGGTGTGAAGCCTGATGAGTCGAGCTTTGGGTTTCTTGCTTATTTGTATGCTAGGAAGGGGTTTCGAGAGAAGATAAGTGAGCTTGAGAATTTGATGGATGGTTTTGGGTTTGCAAGTAGAGGAATCCTTTATTCCAATATGATCAGTGGATATGTTAAGAATGGTGATTTAGATAGTGTTTCTGATGTTATACTGTATAGTCTTAAAGGAGATGGAAAAGACTCGAGTTTTGGTGAGGAAACGTACCTTGAATTGGTAAAAGGGTTTATAGAGAATAAAAGCGTTAAAAGTTTAGCGAAAGTGATAATCGAAGCTCAGAAGTTGGAATCGTCTTCCATTGATGCTGACAGTTCAGTTGGCTTTGGAATTATAAATGCTTGTGTCAAGCTTGGATTCTCAGATAAAGCACATAGTATTCTCGAGGAAATGATTGCTCAGGGAGGAGGATCTGTGGGGATTGGGGTTTATGTGCCAATCTTAAAAGCCTATTGCAAAGAGTACAGAACAGCTGAAGCTACTCAGCTGGTTACAGAGATCAACAGCTCTGGCCTTCAGTTAGAAGTCGAGATCTATGATGCTTTGATCGAAGCTTCCATGACAAACCAGGATTTCATATCTGCGTTTACATTGTTTAGGGATATGAGAGAAACAAGAGGGGCAGATTTGAAAGGGAGCTACTTAACAATAATGACAGGTCTCCTTGAGAACCAGAGACCGGAATTAATGGCAGCGTTTTTAGACGAAGTTGTTGAAGACCCTCGTGTCGAAGTAAATTCCCATGACTGGAATTCGATTATCCATGCCTTTTGTAAATCCGGGCGCTTAGAAGATGCAAGGAGGACATTCAGAAGGATGGTTTTCCTCCGCTATGAGCCAAACAACCAGACATACTTATCCCTGATTAATGGATATGTGAGTGGCGAAAAGTACTTCAACGTCCTGCTTTTGTGGAACGAGATTAAAGGGAAGATATCGTCCGTGGAGGCAGAGAAGAGGTCAAAACTAGACCATGCTCTAGTCGATGCGTTCTTGTATGCATTGGTGAAAGGAGGGTTCTTTGATGCAGCGATGCAAGTGGTAGAGAAATCCCAGGAGATGAAGATATTTGTGGATAAGTGGAGGTATAAGCAAGCATTCATGGAGACTCACAAGAAACTTAGATTGCCAAAGCTGAGGAAGAGGAACTACAAGAAAATGGAATCCCTCGTTGCCTTTAAGAATTGGGCTGGTCTCAACACATGATAAAACCTTTCAGGACACAAGCCCCAGACATCTCTCGTTGATGTATTGTCTCTTTCTGGTGTTACGACACGTGACATTGCTAATAATAGAAAGCATCAGATAAGAGAGTTTTTAGTTAAAAAAAGATGGCGCCAAAAGCAGCCAAGATAGATTAAGACGAGCTAATCCCTAAATTGTAGGAATGCCTTTGGTTTATAGGAATCTGCAGGGGAAAAAAAACAACAACGACCAAATGGATTAATCCTTTCAATTTTGTAACTTTTTTCCTTCTTACTCTTCAAAATTTGAAAGGATTAGTCCTTTTTGTGTTTTTTGGTTATAAAAGTTATATAACAGTTAATGTTTTATGGATTTCTCATTGTTCTAATCTCAAGGATTGATTTCACAGTTTCTTGTATCGAAGGTTCGTTGCCGTTATTGAGATCAAAGTTTTCATGAGTTCATCATTATATATCTGTTGTTTATTCTTTGAACCATTTGCCTATTTTCTTTTACAGTTTGAAAAATTATTTCAAGTTCCAATTTGGTTTATAGACAGAGAAGGTTACTAACGGAGGGAGCCATTGCGGGTAAAGTATAAGGTTCGAAGAGCTACGGTTCATTGGAAATTTACATGGATATTCGTAGGTATAAGTAAGTCCTCTGTTTTACTCTTTTATAATTCTTCTTTATGCTGCTTTACGTCGAAGAAATTAAAGACTTCAAGGACTAAGTGAGAGGTCTTGTTGTCTATTATAAAAGATTAGATTTTAAGGATTCTAACTGGGTATGTTCTTGAAAACATCTCCTTTTTGTGCATTTGTGAAGCGAGTTCAAAGAAGATAACTAAATTTTCATATTTTGTCTTGTAGCTATGGAAATGAATCACAAGAAAGGGAAAAATAGAAAGGTATATCATCTAAAGAAGCATAAAAAGTCAGAGAATAGTAGGAGTTTTGATCCAAGACCAACTAACAAAGAAGGGAATGATGAGAAGCCGGTTTTGTTCCAATTGGGGAGCATTGCTAGTTACGGGGTCAGTGATGTTCGTCTCAAAACAGATCCAGAGATCACCTCCAGAAGATCTGCATCTCTTTCCTTGTCTCCAACCTCTTCAGGGGATATGCTTGAGATCAATGCAAAAGAAAGGAAATCCAGCTTATCTTTCGATAGTAGTAGCATACACAATAAGGAGCTCTTAAGTCACTCTTCTAAATTATGCGAGTTACAAGGTTCATCAGACACACCAGGGTCACAAGTATCTGGTGTAACTTATGCTTCAGTGGAGCCTACGCTTATGTCTCCTTCTGTTCAAATAATGGATAGAGAAGGATCTGACCGAGCTCAGAGCAACTCGTCAGCGACCTTGGAGAAGAATTTGAGCACCATATCAAATGATTCTCTTTTTAGTCTCAGCATAGGTGATAACACGATAGCGAGAGATGAGTTGTTCAGTTACCGAGATTTCAAGTCTGGAGAGATTACAAAATCGGGAGAGCTGTTATCGTTTTGCCCTACTATTCATGTTCCGGCTTATTCTTCTGATCTAGGCAAGAGCTTTGATATGGAGGATAAAGCAAGTGAAGAATGCGAGGATAAGTCGTCAAACTCGAGTGCATCGTGGAGGAACATTGGAGATTGCAATAACTCAGACGAAGCACCAAGCAGCACACAATCATTTTCATATCCAATGTGAGTTTTGTTACTTTTATACCATCGTCTCATTGTAGTAGTCTTTGTCTATGGGGAAACAAGAACTTTCTTTTCAATTATTTGTTACTTTTAATCCAGAACGAAAAAGAAGAAGAAGAAGAAAAAGGCAGCAAAGAAGAAGACGACACAGCAGCAGCAACAGCATAAGCAGAAGAAGAGGTGTTCTTGGCTGTGTTGCACGAACACTGGACCGTGCTTCTCCTGGTGCAGATGGCCAAGTTGTGATTACAGCCTCTCTTGCTGCAAACGGCTAAAATGTTACTCGTGCTGCTGCAAAAGGTTAAAATGTTGCTCATGCTTCTCCTGGTGCAGATGGCCAAGTTGTGATTGCAGTTCTTCTTGTGGCTGGCTCTTCTGCTGTCATTGGAGCTGTTGGAGTTGCTGTTGCTGTTCCAGGTACATTGCTACTTCCAGATTCTTACTTACATTACTCTTCTTTAATCTGTGATTGTTTCAGTCGAAAAGCCCACAAGGAGATTTCTTTGTGTTTGCTGCAGTTCTTCGAAGAAGGTAGTTGATGATGAGATGATAACTAGAGGGAGTAAAGAGTCCAAAACATCACACAAATGGTTCTGTTGCTTTCCTTGTTGCTCTTCTTCCTCTTCGTAACTTTAGATTAGATTCTTTATTCAATTCTCTGTATTCTTAGTTAAAAGGATTAAAAGAAAAAAAAGTGTTAGACTTTTACAAATGTAAATGTTTCTTGCTTAATGAGAGCACTTACCAAAAAATTGAAGAACAACAATATACTCATCATCATATGAGAGGTTTGAGAATAGTATTACGCAACATAACGTTCAACAAGGTTAGGTATGAGGGAGTGAGCCTCAAGTTTTCAGATTCGAGTCTCGAAAGGGAACTAATTAATGAGTAAAGGTATATTCCCATGAATCTCAAAAATAGTTTCAATGTCATCAGCAAAGATAACCTAACTTGCGCTTGTTTGCAAAAACGAATATGCGCAAATTTCATAAAGCACATTGATACACTAATGAATCAAAACCATTGTCCAAGTGATAATGATGATGATTGATGTAAATATGTGTTTTCATATCCTAAGAAAAAAACTGATTTATCAACGAAACTCTATAGCAATCTTTAATCAAAATATATATATTCAAGTTACGTAAACCAGAATTTCTCAATAGACGTAATATTGGGCTTCATATGGATCCTCTAATAATTCACATATTTCAAAATATATAATATACATCATTTAAAGAGTAATATGACATATATACATACATTAGCAAATTAACAAGTAAGAGTAACAAAATCTATTTTTGATGACATGTGATCTCTTTTATAAATCACAATTCACAACTTTTCAGTTTAAACTATTAATTTTGCGACTTTTTATTTTCTAATCATCCGTGCCTCGGAAAAGACATAGTACGTTAGTACGGAATCATGTGCGCCGTCTAAATCTTTTTAAGTAATTAGTGTAAACCGTTACAAATGTCTTTTATTATACATTTCACATAGTAACTTTTGGAGACTTGTGCTTTTTAATAAAGTAAATGAACAATGTATTTTTCTTATGTTCCTAACTTTCATGTTAAACTGTTAATTTTGTAACGTTTTTTTTTTCCAATCATCTGTACCTAAAAGAATACATATTGTACGTACGGTAACACAAATTCACGTGTGCCATCTAAATACTTTTAATTAATTAGTGTAAACCGTTATAAATGATCTTTGTTGTCTATTTTCATGATTAACTTTTTGAAATAAATATTCCTTTTTAATAAATAAATGAATGGTATCTTTTTCTTGTACCGCAACTTTTTAGATTAAACCGTTAATTGTGTAACGTTTTCTTTTCCAATCATCCGTGTCTCATAAAAAAACATGTCGTACATACATTAGTACGGAATCACGTGCGCCGTCTAAATATTTTATATATATATTTTTAATTATTAGTGTAAACTGTTACAATTAATATTTATTACACATTTTCACATAATAACTTTTGTAAATAAACATTTTCTAGCAAAATAAATAAAACAATGTTTCTATTTTATGTTGCGAGTTTTCCGTTAATTCTTGTAACTTTTTTCTTTTCTAATCATCCATATATCGAATAGACATATCGTACATACTTTAGCAATGAATTATACTCACATCCTATAAGGTGTGTTAACATACCCACGGTTACAAATGTTCACATCTCCATATAGGTGTTCATACCCGTTACTTATGTTATGGCAAGATATAATGAACACATTACACGATTCTTCTGTTTCTTGATTTCATGGAACTGCGCACAAGTACAAAAACTGTAACTCCTCTTCTTTGTAACGCTCACACTGATCAAGATACATTAAACACATTACAAGATTCTTTTTTTCTTGCTTAAGATCTGCGAGTTAATTAATGGATCTGCGCACAAGTACAAAAACTGTTACTCCTCTCTTCTTTGTAACGCCCAAATCGTACTCTGACATCAGTCTCTTCTTCGTGTTGGTTAAAGCTTTTAACTTTAAGGTATCAGCGGTTTACAATCCTAAATTACGGAATTAAAAGACTCGTGAGTTTATAAAAGTTGGACCACATATATTTCTCACGCGAAACGTACTGAACGTCACAATAATGATGAGATTACACATGCATCTACACAGAGGAGATTACACATGTTCCATAAATTTTACGAAACTGCTAATGACGTAAGGAATCTCAAAACAAGAAAGAATATTGCTTTAGTAATATTAATATAAATAAATTAATTAAGAAACTAGAAAGCTTATTTAAGTGCAATGAAATAAAAAAAATAAAGAAACTTTAGATTGTCGTCAAGAACTAAGCAATTTGATATTTCTTAAGACAATTCTCAAGGTTACAACCAAAATTCATCATTACATGTACATTATACACATATATGTATCTTCATTTTATTAAGCATTCAAGTTTTACATGTACCAATAAAATAGGCTTTTGAATTTCTCATGAGACATTATATTGGGCTTCATATGTATCCTCTAATAATTCATTTATAACAAAATATTTTATGTATATTATTTACAGATTAATACGACTTTAGTAATATAATGTCTTTATAATACGTTAGGAAGATACACTTTTTAATAAAATAATTGAATAGAGATCTTTTTTCTATATTGTGACTGTAAATTTTAAGTTTTCATCATCCGTGCCTTAGAAATGGCATCGTATGTACGTTAGTACGGAACTATATGTGCCATCTAAATATTTTTAAGTAATTAGTGTAAACCGTTACAAATGATCTTTTATTATACATTTTTACATAATCGTTTTTGAAAATTTGTTTTTAATATAATTTAAATAAACGATCTCTCTTTCTTGTATTGCAACTTTTCAGGTTAACCCGTTAAGTTTTGTCGTTTTCTTTTTTAATCATTCGTGCCTCAGAAAAGACCTACTGTAACGTTTTCTGTTCTAATCATTCGTGTCTCAAAAAGACATACTCTAACGTTTTCTTTTTTAATCATTCGTGCCTCAGAAAAGACCTACTGTAACGTTTTCTGTTCTAATCATTCGTGTCTCAAAAAGACATACTCTAACGTTTTCTTGTTTAATCATTCGTGTCTCAGAAAAGACATATTGTACGTATGTTAGCTTAAAACACGTGTGCCGTCTAAACATTTTTTAAGTAATTAGTGTAAACCGTTATAAGTGATCTTTATATACATTTTCATAAGTAACTTTTAAGAGTATATAATTTTTAATAAATAAATGAATAATGTTTTTTATATCTTGACTTTTAAGGTAAAACTGTTAATTTTGTAACGTTTTCTTTTCCAATCACCCGTCTCTCAGAAAAGATATTTCGTACGTACGTTAACACGGAATCACGTGAGCCGTCTAAATAACTAGTGAAAACCGTTATAGAAGACCTTTTTAATATTTCTTTTTAGTATCACTACTTTTCTGATTAAACCGTTAATTCTTGTTATCTTTTTCCTTATCTAATTATCTGTATATCGGAAAATGACATACATATATATTGTATATATTGTTTAAATGTATAAAATGAGGTAAATGGTTGCAAATGTTCACATCCCATATAGGTGTTCATACCCATTACTTATGTTGTGAACATATGGCAAAAGATATATTGAACACATTACACGATTCTTTTGTTTCTTGATTTCATGGAACTGCACAAAAGTACAAAAACTGTTACTCCTCTTCCTTGTAACTCCCACTCTAATCAAGATACAATGAACACATTACAAGATTCTTTCTTTTATTCTTGCTTAAGATCTGCGAGAGTTAATAATGGAACCGCGCACAAGTACAAAAAACTGCTACTCCACCTCTTCTTCGTAACGCCCAAATAGTAGTAGTAAAATCAGTTTTCTTCTTCTTCTAGAATTGGTTAAAGGTAATCCTAAAATACGGACTTTAAAAAGAGTCGTGAATTTATTAAAATCTGGACCATATAGTATACTAATTCTGACGTGAAACCGAACGTCATAATGACGATGAGATAGATACAACACACACACAGAGAGAGGAGGAATACACGTTGAGTGATCGGTTACTAAAAAAGAAAAAAAGGATTTTAGGAATCTAATCATGGACCAATAACAAGACTAGGGGGGGTAGGGTCTCTCCTTTACCTATCCTGCCTGGTCAAACCAGAAGCAGCCATGTGTGTAGTCTCTCTTATTACATAAGTAAATTTTATTACATTCAGACATTGACTTCACTTGGGTCCTACGCCTTTTTTTTCTCTAAAAGTCTCTTAGACAGTGACAAATATTTTCACGACAGAACCGAGAGAGACCCGGCTGAAAGTAAAACACTCTCTATCTCATCGCTCATCTCACATAACAAGATGTACTTCATATTATGAATTAAAAGGAAAAAAAAGAAAGTGTAATGAAAATATAGAAGAAAAGATATTACACGAAAGAAAATAAAATATTAGGAAAGGAAACGAGAAAAATTCATTTTTGTTTTGGCTAAATGGATAATATTTTAAGTAACATCAGTTACAGTAAGTAAAGTAGTGTGTGTTTTGAAATTTCCTCAAAAATAATTTTAAAGAAAGAGAAGAAAAAGTTTTTTAAAAAGCTGAGATTTTTTTTTTTCTTTGTTTCTTTTTTTCCTGTTTTCCTCGAAAATCATTCTGCTTTGACTGTTTCCAATACGTTAAGAACTTTTTATTAAATGTGTTCTTTGATAATCGAGCCATAGAAAAATATTTGTTTCTTTTTTATGTCATTTTCTTTTAATGTAAAAGAAAGTTTCTTCTTTTGCAACTTGAATTTTGTTTTCGATTTCTCGAGAGAGAGAGGGAGGGAGATCAACTTTTTAACCCAAAGTACTTTAAATTTGTGAGGAAAGGAGCAAATTTTTATCTTCAGGGTTTTCTGATTTTGCTGTCTTCTCTTTCTTCTCTTTCTCGTGTTTGAGGGGTTGGGAAGAAAAAATGAAACTTCTGGGTTTGTTCTTCTTGCTGTTTAATTTGTTTGTGTTTTCATTTTCTCGGAAACTTTTAACAAAGAGTGGTGGTCTTCACGACGATGGAGCTGTTCTGTTGAAGCTCAAGAGTAGTTTCTCTGATCCAAATGGACTTCTTTCTAGCTGGGTTTCCGACAGCTCATCAAACCATTGTTCTTGGTACGGTGTTACCTGCAACTCTGATTTGAAAGTCGTCTCTTTGATTCTCAGAGGTTGTGATGTGGGTGAAGGTGGTAGTGGTAGTACTAGTAGAGGTCTTCATTTCCCAGATTTGTCTTCTTGTTCAAGTAGAAGACTTGGTGGTGAGATCTCTCCAGTTGTGGGAGGTTTGTCTGAAATTAGGGTTTTGTCTCTGTCTTTTAATCATCTGAGAGGTGAAATTCCAAAGGAGATTTGGGGGTTGAAGAAATTGGAGGTTCTTGATCTTAAAGGCAACAGCTTTATCGGTGGGGTTAGGGTTCTTGATCCGTTGAAAATATCTAAACTTGTAGGATTTTCAAGTTTCTCAAGCAATGTTGTTCTTAGGAAACTTATGAGTTACGAGGGTGAAGATGACATTGGTCCAAGCCCAGCTGATGATGATTCCTCTGGCAAATCTGGTTTGTATCCGATTGAGATTGCTTCGATTGTGTCGGCTTCAGTAATTGTCTTTGTGCTTCTTGTTCTTGTTCTATTCTTCCTCTACACGAAGAAATGGAAACGGAACTCGCAGATTCAAGTAGATGAGATAAAGGAGATTAAAGTGTTTGTGGACATTGATACCCCTCTGACGTATGAGATCATTGTTAGAGCTACTGGTTTCTTCAGCAACTCTTACTGTATTGGTCATGGTGGTTTTGGTTCGACTTATAAAGCAGAGGTGTCTCCAACGAATGTGTTTGCTGTTAAAAGACTCTCTGTTGGGAGGTTTCAAGGGGATCAACAGTTTCATGCTGAGATCTCTGCTCTTGAAATGGTTAAGCATCCGAATCTTGTTATGTTAATCGGTTACCATGCGAGCGAAACCGAGATGTTTCTCATCTACAACTACTTATCTGGTGGAAACCTTGAAGACTTCATCAAAGAAAGAACTAAACCAGCTATGGAGTGGAAGGTTCTTCACAAGATTGCTCTTGATGTAGCGCGTGCTCTCGCCTATCTTCACGAACAGTGCTCTCCTAAAGTCTTGCACAGAGACATCAAACCGAGTAACATACTCTTGGACGACAAGTTCAACGCCTACCTGTCTGATTTCGGACTCTCGAAACTCTTGGGAACTTCGCAGTCTCATGTCACAACAGGTGTGGCTGGGACATTCGGATATGTTGCTCCAGAATACGCAATGACATGCCGTGTCTCGGAGAAAGCAGATGTTTACAGCTACGGTATTGTCGTCCTGGAGCTGATATCGGATAAGCGAGCTCTAGACCCTTCTTTCTCAGCCCATGAGAACGGGTTTAACATTGTCTCGTGGGCACACATGATGCTGAGTCAAGGCAAAGCCAAAGAAGTCTTCACCAAGGGACTATGGGAGACTGGCCCTGCTGACGATCTGGTCCAGGTTCTGCATTTGGCTCTCAAATGCACCGTCGATAGCCTCTCGATAAGGCCGACAATGAAACAAGCTGTGAAACTGCTGAAACGAATCCAGCCTAATAGATTGTGAAACAATGCTAGAAGAAGAAGAAGAAGTGTGTTGTAGAGGATATGTACAGCAGCAAACAAGTGCGTAGCCGTTAGAAGTCTTAAGTTATGTTTCTTTTCTTTCCAGTGTAGGGAGCTCTTTCATCTGTATTACTCTATTCACCATATGCATCATAATCAATTATTAATATGTTATTCTCAAATCTCAATCTACTCTCTTAAACTGATATATGTGATGCATCAATCATTAGAATGTTATTCTCAATCTTCTCTCTTAAACTGATATAAATGATGTTTCTCCTTAATTCCCTCTCTGTGGTCTGTAGTAAAAAAATACATATATAACTTAAAATTTGAGAAATGGCCAAGACTCTTAAAAACATCTTCTCTAAACAAGAGTGGGTTTTGGTTAGAGGGTTTTTGGTCTATTATAACTTATAAGAGATTAGAAGGAGAAGAGGTGTTGACAACAATGTGCCTAAGAGGGTGTTCTACATTCGGACCACCGGCATGTTTAACGAAATCAGCCGGAGACAAGAAATCGCCATGGCAAACACACATGATCCTCACTTCTTCACCATTGCCGTATCTATAAAGAATACCATCAACTCTCTTCCCATTAGGACCATCTCCTTTTGTAAACACACATGGCATCTCACTCTTGCCTTTCCCTTGTGGCTCCATCTTCATGTTCATGTCCACTGAACTCAGTCTTCTCAGCCGGTTTGTTGGCTTTGTTGTTGCTTCTTGTTGTTGTTGAGTTGTCGATGTTAAGCTTCTTGCCTCATCACTAGACGCTGTATTTATCAAAAACATTACATGTAAACATTGGTCCGTTACCAAAGCTAAAATGACCTTTCGGGTTGCGAAAAAGCGTAAACTTTGCATCCAAGGATTAAGCTTTCTACCTAAACAATCAACACTAAAATTTGGGATTTGAGACTAAAGCAAATAGATTAACTTAAAGTAATTTATATAGCTTGTGTTAATGATGATCAGATTAGAGAGATTAATACCTTTAGTTTCTAACTCGGAAACGCTCGATGAACCTCCTCCTCCGCCTTGAGACTCAACGGAGCCTTCAAGAGCACCACTGTGCTGCCGTAAAAGCCCGCTTTTGTTAGCAGTAGCAGACCACCGAGGAAGTCCTGAAGTTGGTCTACCTCGCCGTCTCGAAGAGGTGGCCGTCGTCGCAGCTTCTTCCGGATTACCACTGTTTCCTCCACCGCCGGCGCCGCCGCTACGAAGCTTCTCGCTCCTCCGTCTCTTAGCAGCCATTCTCCTTAGCGTCTGCATCTCTTTCCTCTTCCTCCACTCCTCCTCAGACTCAGCCGGCAACGACGTCGTTCTCATCAAACCCATACCCCGCGTAGTAGTCGTCGCGGCCACCGCCGCCGTTGTCGTAACCGTCGTGGTTTGATGACGATGATCCTCCCGGAAAAGAGGCATCGTGACAACGACGGAGGAAGATCTCACGAGCTTGTTGTTATTACTCTTATCAACTCCAAATCTCCCACCAAGAGATAAACCAAGATTCAACTCAACCTCTTCATCGTCTTCTTCATCATCATCTTCACCTTCAACAGAGTTAGAGATGAACCTCTGAAGCAGATCTCTAGGAAACACACAACTGTTACTCCTCCTCGCCATTTCTCTACTTCTCTCGTTTGCTTCCGCCATTAAAATTAAAAGAAAAAAAAAAACTAGAGCTGATGATGAAACAGTAAATAAGGAGAAAAAACAAAGATCAGATTTTGATGCCACGATCCATAACCCAAAAGGCTTTTTAATTTACAAGACACGTTTTGTTACTATTGAATAATAACATTACTTGGGGGAGACGAGAAAAATGGGGATGATGAGAAGACAGAGAAGAGAAAAGGAGAAACTCAAATTAGAGCGAAACAACACACAGAGAGGAATGAATATTCAGTTTCATTTTACTTTAGTTTCGTTATTAACAATGTTACAATTAAAAATATATCAAATCCCTGTAATTATTATTTTTTCTATTTACTTCTAAATTTTTTTGACCAAAAGATAGAAAAATATGTAATCAATTTGGAAATCTTATCTCAAAATCATTATCTTTTTCATTATAATTACATACCTTTAATTACAAAAAAAAAAGTTTAAAATTAGAATATAAAAAAAAAAAGGTTTTGGGGGCACGTAGAAGGGAAAAAAAGGATGAGAGAATAGCCAATGTGTGAAAAGGTACTAAGAGAAGAAGAAGAGCCAAGTGGCAATCAGATGATCCCTCGACTCGACACGTTTTCGTACGGTCTTCTTCTTTCTTTTTTTAATTTTCTTTTGTCTCCCCTCATTTTATTTTATTTTCTCCTTATTATTGTTTGTTGCTTCCTTCTTTGCTCTCTTTTTTCTCTACTAGTAGTAGTCTCTATTACTACTTTAAAAGCAAAAAATCTGTAATTGTTTTTTTATTAAATGTAGAAATTATTCGCTGGCAAAGATACGTGTTCTCAGCAGCGTTAAAGACGGGGAAAGAGACATGTGTCATCTTAAAGAGTACAAGACACGTGTTTCTCTCTTACGTTTATGTTCAATAGGCTAAGGTTCTTTTGCTTGTGTTGCATTAAACTCACTCTCAGGTCCAATATTTTTTTGTTCATTGTATTTTTTTTTTAATATGATTTAGTATACGTACGTGAGTGTGATCAGGGGCGGACCCAGCCAAAAATGTTAGTGGGTGCAAAGTGACAGTTATAGGATTCGAACTCACCATCTCCCATGTATTATGGGTGTAACATAACCATTTTGCTATATTAACAATTATGAACATAATAAAATTTTTAACATTTTATAAGTTACTGGTGGCAGCTGCCACCACCACCTATAACGTAGGTCCGCCTCTGAGTGTGATAAGTTGTGTATTTTTGTTACATGTTCTATAGTGTGATTTTTAAATTCATGATTGGACCTTGGCTTGGTACTATTCAATTTCGAAATATAAAATTGTGTTCTGCTTTTAGATAAATAAAATCAATTATGAGTTAAGAAAATGTATGGAGCAATAATTAATTTATGGTTTAAGATGATTTATTATGAATAAATATCTTTAGCATTGTTGACAAAAAAAAAAAAAAATCTTTAGCATTAAGATAGTTATCTAGCATATTAGATTTAGACTTCTAAAACATTTTGTTTTTTGTTGGCTATGTTTGTAATATTCGAGTTTCCGTTTATAATTAGAATAATAAAAATTTAGATGAAAAAAGATCATATACTAAGTTTGGTAATGATATAGATTAGATATTTGGAGTCTCTGATAAGTAATGATATAGATTAAATTAATATTTTCACTTGGACGTTTTTATGGATTTCAAATTTGAAGCAAATATTATATGAGTTATATGGACATCTGATCTTATATTCCAGGGATCTGAATCTAAATAACTACATTTGAAATCTAGATATCAATTATTTTTTGACCAAAACGAAAAGATAAAAATAAATTTCAAAATTCTAAGACATTAATTTATTCTGTAACCTTAATCGAACGTGATCTTCATCGCATAAGCCATATATTGATATGATATTTTTATTTTTGTATCTTTTCTTATAATAAAAAAAAAAGGTTATTATTGGCTAAGGTTGAGGTACATGGTCCTATATATAGACGGCCAGCTCAGAGAGATCTGGGGAGAGACCTCTTACACCGTGACAGCGAACTGTCGCTGGAACATGAAGCATGTCAGAGCTCGGCCATGTAACACGTGTCCTTGTTGGTCTGGTGATCCTTGCGTGTCTATATATCCCGATCCACACTTCGTTTTATTTTATCCACCAAATCATCTACTTCGTATAATCATAGAACGTGAACTATATAGTGTTGATTTCATAATATTTGTTGTTATATATGTACACTCAGACGATTCATAGATTATGAGTAGAGAGAATCTGTACTACTCAAAATGGTATTATCAATGGTAACACAAAAACTATAACATAGCTGATGAGACTGACTCGATGAACATGACATATTGGCAAATCGTTAGCTATATATTGACCATAATATAAATATTGCACAAGAAGACTCTATATAATACTTATCTATGTTTTGGTCGTGTATGATTTAACCTCATGTAATGTATGATTCTGGAAGGAATATACGCCACTCACCATCACTAGCTAGTCCACCACACATCAAGGTAAATAGGTGTTGTGATGGGCAATGGCGTAGGGAGTTTATAGATTGTATAACATATAGAATCACGTGTCCCCAATATATTGGTCAATGAAAGTATTTGATTACTTGTTCATTTGGTTTTAGCTGTTTGGTTATTTGATTAACTCATATGAAAATTTACACTTTTTAATAGGATTCAAACAACTTTTGTAAGAGAGGTTTTGAATATTGAATGTAATTTGTTTACTTAGAATGAACCTTTTATATTGCATCCAATATATTCTGTAGACCTTTGAATTTATTTGAGCCATAAACGTGTAAACCAATAATGACTATTGCATTCTTTACATTTATCTTTGGGAGGGATTCTATAAACTTTTAACGGTAGGAAAAATAATTATAATTTTTAATACACGATAAATTCTGATTTCTCAATGAATTTCCAACATTTTTATTTGTTTAAAATTTCCTTAAAATTTTATTTTGATAATTTCCTAACGCATATATATATATATATATATATATATATATATGAATTTTAATGATAAACCAAAAGCAAGCACTGGTGTAAGAAAAAAATAAAAAAATAATATATATCAAAAGTAACTATGATTATAAAATAAAAGTTTTCCAAAAATAATTCCTAAGATGGTAATCATGATATTCTCTACCTTTTGTTGTATCCTTTTAAATTACAAAAAAAGTTATATTTCCTCTATAGTTTAGTGAAAAAAATTCATAAGAGATAAGCCATTTTAACGCAATATTTGTTAAGGGAAAAGGTTGGTAAGCTGGAAAAAAAGGTATTGGAATCAAATCTAGCAAAATCGTTGACGTGGAGACAAGAGAGACCGAGAGCTGTCTCATTCGCATATTGTTTTGTTTTCTCTTTATCAAGCAATTGCTAATTACCTTTTTCTAATTATTATCGTCATCTTTGCTTCTTTAGTAATTACAATATTGACGATGATGTGACATTAGACCACATGTCGTATTACAGCTTATCAACGGAGCAAAACTATAGGATATACCTTCACGTATTAGCAAGGGATTAATTTGATTTTGGTGTTATTTAAATAACGATTGCTATTATAAGAAAGTTGAATATTCGAATAAAAACAAATTTGGGATATAAAAGAAAAAAAAAAGGAAGAAAAAGAGAGTAGGAAATGAAGAATTATATTGAGTTCCATAAGGAGAAAACAAAAAATAAGAAGACCTAAAAAGAAGTAAAAATATTTGAATCTGTAATCTCAATTTGCAAACTCTTGAAACAATTAAATTTCTAGTAAAGCTGCAAAGTTTAGGTGTTCTTGTGTTGGTGTTTGTAAAGGAGACCGTCATCAAGATGTTCTGTTTTCTCCTTCACCTTAGGGGGCTCTTCCTTCACTGTTTTTTTGGTAATTCTCTCCGTTTCCGTTGCGTGCTCCTCCTCCTCTTCTTTCACTGTTTCTTCCACCGTTCCTACGGCTTTTGACCGGCTTGAACTCATCTTCGCCATCTGCTGATCCATTCTGAGTCTTGCTTTCACTGCTTCCACCACTTCCACCTCCACGGTTCCTACGGCTTCTGACGACAGTGAACTCATCTCCGTCATCTGCAGAGGCTGCAGAGCCATTCTGAGCCTGAGTCTGCTGCGTCTGAGTCTGCGCCTGAGTCTGAGCCTGAGCCTGAGCCTGAGCCTGAGTCTTGCTTCCACCGCTTCCACTTCTGGTTTTCCCAGATTGTTTACTTCCATCGTAGTCAACTGCAAAATATCCAAGTTGAAGAAGTTTCAGCCTTGTATGCTAGAAAGCGATGATTTTATAGCAAGAGGGGTTAACTTAAGGAAAGAGAGCCTACCTTCCTTTTCCTTTACACGAAGCTTACGGTCTGCAAGCATGAAGGGCGTGTTCTTGGCAGCCTGGAAGTTACAGAGTCTGAATCAGAATGTATAGAGAGACTTTTAAAAGAGGAAACAAGAAACTGGAATTTATAAATTACCTGAAGCACGCTCTGCACAGAGGAAGCAGATTCAAAGGAAATGAACCCGAAGCAAACCGAAGTCTGGCCCTGGTGACATAACAAATGTATAGAACTCGTGTAAGGGAACTGGGAGAGGTGATGATTAGAATTAGCAAAAAGACACAAGAGGTCAAAGAACAAACCCTGGAGCTTCGGACTTGAATCCCATTTTCCTTGATAGGACCAAAATCCTTAAACAGTTCATGGAGTTGAGGTGGCATTGCATTCATTGGCAGATTAGCCACAAATATCGAAGTTCCTGAAACCAATAAACACCCATTTGATATACAATGTAAACCAAACAACAGCCAAGAAACAAAAATATTCATTTCAATCCAACATCAATGGCCATCTCTGCCTTCTAACCTGGTTCTTCATTGATCTTATGATCGAATTTCTTTACAGAGTTACTGACAGAAGCAGGTTTTTGAGGTGCTCCAGCTGCACGGGGTTGTCCCATGTTCTTAGGTTTCTGAACCGGGGCTTGGGCTTTAACAGCTTTAACTTGAAGCGGAGCAACGTTTTGTGCCATTGATTGAACCTGTAATGCGTCACTTATAAGTATGTATAGATGTCCCATATTAAAGGAAAAATTTGCAAAATAAAACTCACAATTGCAACATACGATCTCTTGGCTCCATCAAGCTGAGGAGCAACTATTTCAGCAACTGGCTTTTGAGCAGTAACAGCCTTTTCATCAGAGTGCTTGACCTTTCCATTTTCCAATGGAACATTAGCTTTAGCAACATCATTCTTTTGAACAGAAGCACTAACAGACTTCTCAGTCTTCTTTGGACCATCAGCTGGCTTCACCTTCTCAGCTGCTGACACTAAAATAATAGTCCACACAAAAGAGAAGAGTTGTCAGTATAAATTATAATGGTAGTACTCTCTTTTTCGCAAGAATACAAACGGGAAAAGTAGCACAACAACGTACCAGGTTCAAGAAGTGGCAGAGTTTTCGGGGTGGATTCGTCATCATCAACATAACGGAAGATGTCATTGAGGACATCGTAGTCCTTTTGACGAGCAAGATAGAACATCTGAGAAAACTTCCTCCTCCGGTTGTCTTTTCCAGTCACGAAACCAACAACCATGAAAAATATCCCATCTTCCAAAGAACTCTGAGAATCAATACTCAGCACCTCAAATGTCGTATTCTCATAGTCACAGGAAATGATCTGCTCGTTGATAGCCTGGAGAAACCAAGATAGTATATATAAATAACATTAAAGTCTCGATTTGTATAGATACTAGACAACAACAGCATGATGTGAACAAAACCAATAAGTCAAAATTAGAACTAGTTTCACAACAAATATTAGTTCTCATATCACCAACACCTAATCTAGACGAACAAACATATCTCAGAAGCTATGTTCTGTATACATTACAACTCAATCAATAAAAGATAGTTTCATTAGTAGTACGAGATCGATTTCAAAAGCAATACGAGCATTACAAAAAGGAGAAGACTTTTATTTTTTTATAGAGTTATCAAATCGAAAGATCAAAATTACCTCATTGGAATTAAAAGTCATCATAGAACCATCAGGTCTAGGTCTGCTGACAACAGCACCAGCGGCATAAAACTTAGAAGCTTGGTCAGGCTGCTGTCTTAGAACTAGAAAGTACTGGTCCACAAAGGCTTCAGAAACCTCCTGTGCTGAACGAACACCTTCCTCGGTAGCCATATCTGCACACGTACTGATAATCAAAAACAACAAAACAAAAACAGAGCAAATTCAGAACCAATTTTCAAAATCATATCGGGAGAAAACCCTAGATCAAAATAAACAAATCTGAATTAGGATCCAAGGTTAAAACCTGGCGGCAGAGAAAGACAGAACCGAGGAGAGTCCGGTGAGAAAGAATGAAACTTGAGAGAGGCGTGATTAGGGTTTTTTTTAAGGAATCGAGAGATTTGGTTTGGAGAAGAAGAGAAGAGAGAGAGAGAGAGAGGAGTAGGGTTTTAGAGAGGTTCCTTGATTATGATTTGTCTATACGCCGATGGAGAGAAGAGCTTAAATAAGGAAGAAGAAATATATATATTTCTTTATTTTCCTATTTTATAAGGTCGGCTTAGTAAAAAGTAAATTTTGTTTTTGGACTTTGGACTTTGGGGCACTTTTTAAGTTGACACTTGTTTGAGTCTTGTTAACTTTTTAACCATTATCACACGGGTGGTAAAAAAAAAGATAAATGAAAAAAAAAAAGAAATTTAATGCCACTCGAGTCAAGTGGTTCGTGTGGGTTCGGCCGTGTTTCGGACCATATGCTGTTGTTTGTTTAACTAGGAAAATGAACTCCTAGGTCTTGTCCAAAAGAGTTTTGTATTAAAATTCAAATCTTTTAATTCTTGGATTATATTTAATGATATTAAATTTTTTGATGATAATATATAAGAATCTAGGTTTATTCAGTTAGTGATATCTACATAGTGAATACAAATTATATAATTAGAGATCAAAACAGTAAGTACAAATTAATATTTTAGATACATTATGCAGTTAGAGATTTAATTAGTTCATATAAAATAATATTTTAAGATAAATTATGTAATTATAGATCTTAATAATAAATATAGTACAAATTACTCAATTAGAGATATCTAAATAATTAATATAAATTAATGTTTTAGATAAATTTTGTAAGAAGATATTATAGTGAGTTTTCTTTTTGTAGCTCTTGTTAGAGTATATCTTAGTTTGATTTTTATTCTATTTCAGCTTTTACTAATTTTATTAGATAAAATCTTCATTAAAATAGCCCAAAACTTTATACACAAGTTTTGTAAACACTAAATATGAATTGATCTCATTTATGAATTGTTATTTTAAATGATTAGAATTTTTAAAATGTATATTGATTTGGTTATCCCGAGATCACCCGTAAATGGGATGTGACGATTGCTAACGGTATAACGAGAATAACAGAAAATCGTTTTAGACCGTTACGGGTTACTTGGAATCGTTAGATTTCAAAAGAGTTTTCCCGCCAGTATTAATGGCATATAATTCAAACAACCATTATTTCTTTTTTTTTATATTAGTACTATTAATTCATTAGAACTTTTAAAAACATTGTAATTTGTAAATGTTCCTTATGCAGTAGGCAAAATATATTTTTGGCAGATAGTGATGTTATGTTTTGATCATGTTTGGCAACGTTCACACACTATTATTTCTAATATTTTCTTAATTGTATATTTTATATTTTAGATAAGTACATATGTATTTTCTTATTGTAATAATTAGGTTAATGAGTCCAAAATTTATTTAAATATTCAATAAGGGTTTGTGAAAATAATAGATCCAAAACATTGAGAATCTTAAGTTTCTCTGTCAAAGTGTATATAAGAAGAGTTTTATTTCTGGAAGAGAAAACAAGATATCAAATCACCAGAGTACTTATACGATTACCGATTTTATCATTTCTTACAACAACAATTCAAATATAACCTTTATAAAGAAAATATACACAAATTACTTTATGAAATGATCCACGATAGATGAACAATAACAACGTTGGAGTCTGAAAACGATGTTGCTAGTACTACTACAAGAACAAACATAACAAAAGCTTTTGTCAAATTCTTATCGTCGATGGATTTAGTCCGATTAATTTACAAGTTGCCCTGTGGACTACATCATGGATGGATGATATTACATTGTTTTACTTAACTAACACTGATGGATCTCTAGCTAGCGGAGCGGGATACAAAAATAAGAAACAAAGAACCAACATGGTATTGAACTAGTGGTGAGGATGATTAGGTCTCTCTAAAGAATTCGATTCTGAATTGAGAAGAGAGCTATATCCAAATCTATATAGATTTTGGCTTATAATTATTGGATTAACTATATATAAACAAGAAGGTTACGAGGAATCTGTTTTATCATTGTGAAAAAATTAAGCAGAGAAAAACATAAGTTTTGTGTAAGTCAAAGGAGCAAAATGCTCATAGAAAGTGCCCTCCCATGTTCCTCCCTCTTCCTTCTACCTCCAACTGTCTAAGCAATCACTTTTCATTATTTTGGTAATAGAATACTCAAAAACTATTCTCTAAACTTTTAACCAATTCTCTCCTAATTGTGTTTTCGTGAGTCTCATGAAACTTTAAGTGTCAAAACCATATATCACGATCAAACAGGTTTACATTTTAAGTACACTTCACAACGTGAAGGTCTCAACTCTTTATTTTCACCCATCATAAAATCAAAACTATACACATGCAAGCACGAACAAGCTGCATATATATAAACACACACATACAAACGTGTTTACACATTACACGGAAATTAAAAAATGGGAAACTCTTTAAGATGCATATCGCAAGAACAAGATCCGAACCAAAAGAAACCAAGCACCGTCGTCAACGGTACTAGCTCCGAGAAACATGTCCGGAGACTGTCCCTGATACCATCTTTCCGACGCCGGACATTACTACCGTCTCTCTCTTGCTCCGGTTCCTCCACGTCAGGTTCATCAACGTCCAAGAAAGGAGGGATCAAGACAAAGAAGAAGATCAGAGAAAGACACCACCAAGAGCATCACCATCATGACCATCACGAGAAAGACTCTCTTATCCAAGAACAAACCTTAGCCGCCACCAATATACTCTTCAGCCAAACGCCTCGTAACAGCAACTCTGCTCCTCCTTTCCGACGCTCCACCTCCGTCGTTTACACTCAGCCACCTCCTGCCGCCGTAGCCGCATCAGTTGGTTCTGTTTCCGGCGTCTTGACTCCTAAAAAATCCACTTGTGCATTCGTTAGAAGCTCAAGTAATAGGCAGAGATCAAGCACCGATCCTGTTCTTAAACCAAATCAGCTTCTAGACAAGGCAAGCACTTTTATTTGCCTAGCTCCCACTATATTATATATTATATGATGCTAATGATAGTATATGATATAAAAAAATGGAACCAGGAGCTAAAGGTGGAAGGAGCAGAGACAAAACGATTCGTGCTGGTTCATGGAGGAGGATTTGGAGCATGGTGTTGGTACAAAACCATAACGCTCTTAGAGAAACATGGCTTCCAAGTCGACGCCGTTGACTTGGCCGGTTCTGGCGTTAGCTCTTTTGACACAAACAACATCACCAGCCTTGCTCAGTACGTCAAGCCCCTCCTCCACTTCTTCGACACCCTCAAACCCACCGAGAAGGTTTGATCATTTTCATATAATCATAACGTTTCCTAATTTAAATACTATAAATGTTATTAATTTACTAACAAATTTAAAATGTTGGTTGATGGGTGCGTGAAGGTGATATTAGTGGGACATGATTTTGGAGGGGCTTGTATGTCTTATGCTATGGAGATGTATCCTTCTAAGATCTCTAAGGCTGTTTTCATCTCTGCTGCTATGTTGGCTAATGCACAAAGCACTCTCGATCTCTTTAATCAACAGGTTTAATTCTTGTCTCATAACATTTTTAACCTTACATATACTTTTAGAGTATACAATTGCAATCAATCCTTATGGCCATAGTTTTAAAAATCTAATTGCAAACATTTGATATTTGCAGTCATCCGACTCAAATAATGATCTGGCTGAACAAGTCCATATATTCTTGTACGCCAACGGCAAAAAGAATCCTCCAACAGCCGTTGATTTCGACAGATCATTGCTACGAGACTTTTTCTTTAATCAGAGCCCTCCAAAGGTACACTTACACATAAGGCTTAAATAATAGCTAAAACGTTACAACTACGTTTTAAGTAAACCAGACTTTTGTTTTTTATTATTACAGGACGTTGCATTAGCGTCGGTATCCATGAGACCAATCCCGTTCGCACCGGTGGTCGAAAAGCTTCACGTGTCGGAGAAAAACTACGGTTCAATCCGACGGTTTTACATCAAAACCATGGAGGATGATTTCGCTGTACCGGTTTCTCTCCAAGAAGCAATGATCAAATCAAACCCTCCTGAACAAGTTTTTCACCTCAAAGGCTCTGATCATGCACCTTTCTTCTCTCGTCCACAGTCTTTGAACCGGATACTCGTCGAGATTTCTCAGTTACCTTCCAAGAAATCTTCCTAAAATCTTTGTTACCGGTTTATGTAAAACCGTACCGGACATAGGATCCTGTAAACTTGTTAAAGTTAGAAATTGTCGGATTTGTTTTTGTTTTGGAGAGATATGAACAAAGATTCATTTGGGAATGGGTTCTTTTTTTTTTTCCATTATTTGTAACTTTTTATCATCAAACAGTAATGCTTTATGAAAATTTTGATTAAATTAATTCAAAAAGATTAGGAGAAAGCAAAATTAATATTTGGATTACACTAGAAAAAGGTTAAAGTTACAAAACGACAACGGGTTATATAGTGATTGTTGTTCTGTTGAAGTGACGTGCCAGCTAAGCATTACCTTACATGAGAACTTTTGTTTTGTGTGCCTATAAATCACAATTCACAGGCTTCTTGCTTTCTCTCATTGCTTCTTCTCCTCCAATCACCTTGCTGATCAGGTAAACTAGATTGGTGTTTCGTTTTGTTTACTTCTCAATTTAGGGGTTTGATTTGACAAGTTTTTTTCGTTTGTTGTTTCTCTGTATGTTGCGTGCTCTTAGCATTGCATCAGTGGTTAGGTTCGAAATACGCAATATTGGATTGATATACGAAGGAATGTTTATATAGTCTAGATTAGCTGAGCAATTACTTTTGTTAGGTTGAAATGAAGATCGAGTGGTTTAAAAATTGATCTGACAAGTTTATGTTATTATATTGGTAATGATAAGTTGTTGATAATTTTCAAGTTTTGTTTTGAGCTCTTACTGGTCCATTCAAAGCAATACTGATGCATAACTTTTCGTGCTTGCTTTGGTTTCGTTGAAATGTGGATGTGAACTATGGTTGATTGAGTGACCACTCCACTATTCTTTTTTTTTGTTTTATACTATATTTAGCAGCAAATGAAAAGTATGAAATATGATAAGCTGATTAAAGATTTTGTCATATTTGGTGAATCCAAAGCAGAGTACTATTGAGAGAAGGAAGCAAGAGAGCGAGATAGAATGGGTCGTGGAGTTAGTGCAGGTGGAGGGCAGAGTTCTTTGGGGTATCTTTTTGGTAGTGGAGAAGCTACAAAGCCAGTAGCCGTTAACAAAGCTCCAGCTGAAACTCAGTCTCCTACTCCTGCTCCACCTCCTCAAGCCGCTGCTCCAATTCCAAAGGCTGTTGATGGCACCAAACAAGTTCCTGCTGGTCTCAATAGCAACTCTGCAAACAATTACATGCGCGCAGAAGGACAAAACACAGGCAACTTCATCACGGTAATATATCTCTTTCTTTCTGACAATGGTGTGATTGACACTGTGCTACTACTTCAACTAATATGGTCTTTTGGAATGGTACTAAAGAATGTTTTGGTTATTATGCAGGACCGGCCATCGACCAAGGTTCATTCAGCTCCAGGAGGTGGCTCGTCTCTGGATTACCTCTTTGGTGGTGGTAGCAACTAGCAACAGAGGCCTAAACTTGGTCACTATATATGTACTTCTATCCCAAGTCTGTCTTATGTAATTCTTGTGGAACCTCTTGCAAAAAAAATCTGTGATTGTCTTCGATTAATATACAAAATGTGCTTCAAAATGTTGTATGGTCCTCGTATATTCTGTTTCAATTCTACTTGTTCTTGATTTCACATTTTCTATTCATAAAATTCTCAAATAAATAGTTCAAAATCTATACCAAAATTGGACAAAGAGAGAAATAATAACATTACAGCTTGCACACACACAAAGAAAACACTAGTTGGCCAAATTACAATTTTGTATCCCTTTTTATTTTCTTTCTATGAATTTTTCCTTTTTCCTTTTTTTTTTTTTTTTTGTTTTCAATTCATCATTAGTTTTTTTAAATACGAGCCTTGTACTTGCCTGAGAGCTCTCTATACACCGGCGACGACGGTTAAGAGCCAAAGATGGATAATAACTCGCCGAGATCTCGTCGGAGCCGGAAACCGGAGACTAAACCCGACATATACTCCACTTTCGTAGTCCACTCCGACTCTGATTCTGACCAAGGTCGAGATCGAGACAAACGCAAATCCAAACCTGAGGAAGACGAAAATGTCGATTTATACGCCACGATGGTTTACAAAGGCGATAGTGACGGAGGAGGAGAGGAAGATGACGAAGACGATTCTATGCTTCCTCCTCTTCTCAAGCGTCTTCCCAAAGATTTCGGAGGCGGCGCTTCGCTCGATTACGACGAAGACGACGGAGGAGATTTCGGAACTATGATTGTTAAAACAGATCGGAGTAGCAAGAACAGCCCGTATTCGTCTAAACCGCCAATGGGAGTTAGTCCAAGGACGAGAGGGAGAGGCGGAGATGAGGAATCTTCCGAGGAGGAAGAGGAAGAAGAAGATGATGACGATGATGAGGATGAGGATGATGATGACGGAGAGTACGGTACCTTTGTTGTGAAATCTAAGGCGAAGAAGGGAAAGAAGAAAGAGAAGGAGATTGATATGTCAACTATGGGAAGAGCAGTGGCGAGTATGCAGAAATCGAATTTTGGTGGTAAGACTCGGAAATTGGATCCTTCCTCTTCTTCTTCTAAGCTTCAAGGTGAAGACAATCGGAAAATGCAGCAGCAGAACAGTAAGATGTCGACCACGTCTCTTCCGGATAGCATTACTAGAGAAGATCCAACCACCAAATATGAATTCCTCAATGAACTTGGTAATTTAGCCTATCTAGAGTTACTTTGTTGTTGCTCTGTATTGCATTTTCTCCTTTGTGTAGCTATGATCATGACAGCCATCAAATCTGGCATCTGAATTGGCAGGGAAAGGATCATATGGATCTGTCTACAAGGCAAGAGATTTGAAAACATCGGAGATTGTTGCGGTCAAAGTCATATCACTTACTGAAGGGGTATTAAAAGCTTGTACGCAGCGTTAGTCAGAATGTCACAGTTGCTAAAGTACTCTATATGTGATTTAAGTTCTAATTTTAATAGGAGGAGGGCTATGAAGAGATCCGGGGAGAAATTGAGATGCTGCAGCAGTGTAACCATCCAAATGTTGTACGCTACCTTGGGAGTTACCAAGGAGAAGATTATCTTTGGGTGAGCATCTTGGCCATAGCTTAATCCTCTTTGGTAGATATAGCGGCTCTTATTGTTTGGACTCAACTGTTTTTCTTCTTCTTTTATATATTTTAATTTATGTCTTTGATCTTACTAATTTCTGTCTTCTGACAGATAGTGATGGAGTATTGTGGAGGTGGAAGTGTTGCTGATCTTATGAATGTTACCGAAGAGGCGTTGGAGGAGTATCAGATAGCATATATATGTCGGGAGGCGTTGAAGGTAATCAAAAATTTCTGTAACCTTTTTTCACTTTATGGAATTGCTAGAAGCCTAGACGCATTGGAGAAGGAAACTGATGTCTGCTTCCTGTATTTGATGCTACTGTCTTTGCTTGCGCTCATTTGCTTCAACATGTTATAGGCCTAATACGTCTGTTTGTATCTATGTCTTATATGTAGGGCCTTGCATATTTGCACTCAATATATAAAGTCCATAGAGACATTAAGGGTGGAAATATCTTGTTGACTGAACAAGGAGAGGTCAAGTTGGGTAAGTTATATTGGGGATTTTCTCTTGCTTGAGGAGTGGCGTTTACTTTTAAATAATTCTATTACACATCTTGGCTTTTATGTTTTCAAGCTTGGAATCTTGCTTTGCCTTATCTGTTTTTAATTAGATTTTTTTTACTGTTACAGCTGCATGCTGATTCCAAAGTTCGCTACCTTGATTTTTTCAGGTGACTTTGGGGTTGCAGCTCAACTTACGAGGACTATGTCGAAGCGAAACACGGTAAAGACCTATATGAATAAAGTTTGCTATGGTTAATTCATGAAGCTGTCTTTTATCAGTTGGGCAATTGAACCTTAAGAGACATTAAGTTCCTGATGGTGGGATTCTTTAATGTTTTGTGTTGTTTGAAGTTCATTGGGACTCCGCACTGGATGGCCCCGGAGGTTATTCAGGAAAATCGTTATGATGGGAAGGTAAGTGTTCTTTTGACAATAACCTGTTCTGATATAAACCCCCGTAAAGATGTTTTAGTAATTTAAACAACTAAAGATTATATGGACTGATGTAATGGTACCTTCCATATCTGAATGTTCTTTCCTGAAATTTCTGCTTCACATATACTGAATCTAATATAAATTACATCTCTTGTAGAAAGTACTTAAGGTTTTTCTAAAATGGTTGTGCAACTAGTTCCACCGGATTCTATTTTTAGAGGATATTAGCGTCTGAAATATAGCTAGTTAGAATTTACGTCTGCACAAGTTTTCTAGAGAATAGAATCGAGGATTGTTCTGTTTACATCTTGATGACATTTGGTTTCTTTACTACAGGTGGATGTATGGGCTCTTGGTGTTTCAGCAATTGAGATGGCAGAGGTAATATGGGATTACTTTTCGTAGGAATTAATTTATGTTGTAGTTGGCAGTTTATCTGACATTTGTGCTAGCAAAACAAGTTATTTGTACTGAGTCTCTCGCCTTGCATGTTATGGAAAAAGAAGAATATTCTTGTACATTTTGATTAACACTCTCAATTCCTCATCACTTAACTCACTTCTTCCATATTTTTATTCTTAATCATCCAGTGGTTGTCTTCTGACAATTAGTTGTGTTGTTTACAGGGGCTTCCTCCAAGATCAGCAGTTCATCCGATGAGGGTTGTTATACTAAGCCATCTTGCTGTTGTTATTATTTTTCCAAGTGATCGAATACGTTATTGATTCTAGGATGGGCGAACAACCTGCTTTTTTCTTTTCTTCTGGGTTTGGTTGTTTTCTCTGTTAGGAAAACGGAAAGAAAGTGAATCTGATCTTGAATCCAAATCTAGACCAATTTGTTGCACATTGTTTCGAGTTTGGCTTCACTTTAAGGGTTTCTGGAAATGTGGTTGACTCAGACTCTTCGTTTACATTAGTTGTAAGCCGTTTGGTTTAGTCTGTTTTGAAAGCAATATCAAGCAGCTTGGTGTTGTTAAGTTTTTCCTATAAACTAAAATGGAACAAAATCTGTATAGACCTGGTATGATTATATTCATAAACATAAGAGTTATTAAGCTAGAAATGGAGGTCTTGAAATATTTTTCAAAGGTCTGTATTGGTTAGTAGCGAAAACTAGGTGAAAGAGGGAAAATTCGCTTGTTTGCTTATTTGATGGCCTTTAATCTCATATTGCCATTATTTAATATCTCATTTTGGACATCCATCTTTGCTAGGTTTTGTTCATGATATCCATCGAGCCAGCTCCAATGCTTGAGGATAAAGAAAAATGGTACGTCTTCAACCTCTTTAGAATATCACATTAAGTATCATTAGGCAGAAAGTAAATCTTCAAATCATCCAAGCGCGCTCAGTACCTTGTACTGTGAAGTATATATCCTTGTAGTCACTTAATCAAACTATGTAAAGTAATTGTATATACACAATATGTAACATACAGTGCTTTATCAATATGATCTATTATTTAGCTAACAGAACCATTTTATCTCATCGGTCTAATAATTTTTCTAGCATTCGCAGAGAAGTTTTATATATCGGGTTGGCAGCATACGTTTATACAAATGCATTGACCTATAAGCGCTCAGAAACATACTAATGCAATTTTCGTTAAAGAGATCTTGGCAAATTCTTATGGCACATTCGACATTTTGTTGCTACCCTCTGCAGGTCCCTGGTATTTCATGATTTTGTTGCAAAATGCCTTACAAAGGAACCACGTCTTCGCCCAACTGCAGCTGAGATGCTTAAGGTAAACTATGATAGTCTTTTTTAACTGTATGCCAGAGATTGTCAGTATGTCAATACTCTTTCTTTTTTTTTTTTTCCTTTTCTTTGAATCTTTTCAGCTCACTGTGACTGTCTTGCCAATAATAGGATATCTTCAGCTTTAGTTGTCAGAATTACCATCACTTTCATAGCTGGCATGTAATTTAGCGTTTTTATGTTCTCTGTGTTCTTCTGATGCCAGTTATTCTTTGGATTTAATTCAGCACAAATTTGTTGAGAGATGTAAAACTGGAGCTTCTGCAATGTCGCCGAAGATTGAGAAGTCAAGACAAATCAGAGCTTCCATGGCTCTTCAAGCACAAAATGTTGTTGCACCTTCGGAGGACTCTGTATGTATTGTTTTTCCTTAACGGTCACCTCTCTCTTAGTTACCCCTATCTTCTTTCCTAATATCTCTGCAAATTAATATTTTTCTAAATATAGTATAATCTTGTAACAGTCAACACTGGGCCCAAACTCAAGTGACGGGGTTGGAATTACGGTTCCATCTAAACCTCCTCAAAATTCCACCGAAGCACCTTCAACCAGCACCCTGAATCGGCAGCAGGTATCAGGCAATACTGTGTTGGCTGGAGAAGGCAAGTATTATACCCAATACTATCTATGTCTATATAACATACTTTTTAAAGGGTGTGTTTTTGTTGCCTGATTTTAAGGCTATTACGCTCCTCGGGGTGTTGTTCTGTGAACCTTAGGCTGTTATTTTGCAACATAGAAGTTGAGAAATCTGCCTTTTCGAGCCATCTTTGGTGTTGTATATTTTCTTCTATCATGGTTTTCTAACGCATGTAACTTTATGTTTGCATTGGCTCATTTGATCAGGTGGTGAATTTGGAACTATGATTGTTCATGGTGAGGATGAGACAGACCAGAGTGACTCCAGGCCTCAACTTGTCAGAGAGAAAGAATCTTCATCGTCTCAAGTTGAAGGTGTTTCTCGCGGATTCTCAGGAGAAGAATTACCTGACTCGTGGTATATCTCAGACCCCTTTTGTTAACTTTATCCGGGGGCATATCCACTTATACCAAATAGGCGCTTATATTTTCTTCAGTGTCATCTAGTTTATTGCAAGAAAGATATATGGACTTGTTTCTTTAGCATAATTTAACCTGATATTGGTTGCTAGGATCCCCGACAAAAAGAATCCTCTTGTAACCAACATTCCAGTTGAAGATTCAACTTCACAGAGCATGCAGGCAAGTTCATCTCATGAGCATAAAATCAAGCTGAATAACATATCTGGAACACATACCGAAGGTGGCAGTGAAGCAAGTGGCAGTACCTTAAAGAATGAAACTGTTGGCAGGAAAGCTTTTGCCTTGCAAGATAAGGTGAGTTCGTTTTGTGCTGTATTTGTACTACAAGCTTGAGTCTAATCAATGACTCAATGCCATTGCACGGTTAAAATCTGTCTCCTTTCCTGCAGTTATGGTCTATCTATGCAGCTGGAAACACGGTACCAATACCATTTTTGAGAGCAACAGATATATCCCCGATTGCACTCTTGTCAGAGAACATGATTGGAGGCATGCAACAAGATGGGAATGGAACTGTAGCTGTTGAAGCACTTCAGGAGCTCTTCACTGCTGATCCCCAATCCAAAAAGGGGCGACGTGGACAAAACGAGGTCTAAACTCTCTCCCTCTCTCTTTCCTGATCTCTCTCTTGAGCTCTATGTAAAGTGAATCATAATGTTTTAATATTCTGTGTAACGGATGCAGATGCCTCTTCCTCCAAGCGTATACCAAAGACTGACTACAAGTTCTTCTCTGATGAACCTTGCACAAGTTTTAGCGTACCACAGAGCGTATGTGTCAGATAAATTAGCAAACTAGCTAAATGGTTTCTTATTACGTCTTACTATAAACCTAAAAACCCATTGCTATGATCCACAGGTGTTACGAGGAAATGCCGCTACAGGAATTGCAAGCAACGCAGGAGCAGCAAACGATACAGAATCTCTGCGATACTCTTCGCACAATTCTCCGCCTTTAAAAGTTGTTTGCATCTGGTGCTACTCATGTATTAGTAGTATAGGTTTGTCTCAACAAGAACTTTTTCTTTTTCCCCCCTATAAATTTTTTAACTACAATCAATTTTGTATCTTCTTAGCACAATTGTTAGAAGATTGAATGAGAAAGAAAAAAATGGATACAGGCTTTGTGTAATTAAGTACTTAATAACACTCCCATAAATAGAAGTGAATCCCTTAAACAGTTATTACAAAGTCGTGTGTGCCTGTGTGACCATTGTATCGTCGTAAGAAGCATGGTGAGATACCAAAGTCTGATTGTAGCTGCTTTATTTCGAGCTTCTCGCCGTTTTACCTCACCGGCGACTAGTTTCTCAGCTAGGGCTTTTTCTTCTTCCTTACTATTACCAAAGACGATCAATTTCACTCTTCCTCGCTATTCTCCTTTCTCTTCTTCGGTCTCTACTTTTTCTTCTTCGTCTTCTTCTACTTCTCCTGCTCCTTCAGGTCGACCGCCAAGAACCGCCGGTAGTCATGACGACGAAGAAGACACGTTCGAATGTAAGATTAAACCTTTTCTTCTTTCTTTCACTGTGTCTATATTATCTGGGTTTTAGGTTTTGTTTACAGTCTTTCTTCAACGGATCATTGTGTTTTGCATATCTCGCGTCTATAAGGTGTTTGTTTAAATGTCTTCAGCTTAAATGCATCTTCTTTATGTTGCTCACTTTTAGCCCAGCGAATGTTTCCATAGAAGCTAGTATTTCCTATGGTCATAAGATACTGTTGGTCTCATAACACCTGCTTCCAATTTAATTGGCAGATAAAACAACTGATGATGTGGAGGTCATAGAAGATTGGGAAGAAGAAGAAGAAGAGGAAGTTGAATCACATGTATCTTTCCACTACATTTTCTCATCACTATACCACTCATCATGATTTTTTAGATTCTTTTGAGCTAATTTTGGTTCTTATTTATCTGTATTACAGCTTGACGATGGAGGAGATGGTGGTGGGGTTGTTCTTCGAGGTGTACCATGGGGTGAAAGAGTTCTCTCTATTGCTGCAGAAGTTTTAAAGCAGTCTGAGAATGATTTAGAATTGTTTGCTTTCAAAACTTCACCCCGTGGATATATATACGTCAGACTAGACAAACTCTCAACTGAGTAAGATCCTTCACCCTTCTATATGAAAACCAGTGTGAAAGCAGTAAGTGTCAGAAACTAAAGAAAGCTACTTCTTTTCTTTCTTGTAAAAAGATATGGATGTCCTACCATGGATGAGCTTGAGGAATTTAGTCGAGAATTCAAGAGAAGACTAGATGATGCTGGGAATGCAAAAGAAGTCCCAGAGGATCTTGCCCTTGAGGTATAAGAAAGAGTCTTTCCCCCATAAATCAACGATTGCTTGGGTCATTTTGTTGTAAAATTTGTTTCTGTGTTGGTTTTTCTGTGAAGGTGTCATCTCCAGGAGCAGAGAGGCTGCTGAGAGTCCCAGAGGACTTGCCTCGATTTAAGGATATGCCAATGACAGTAAGCTATGTAGAGGAAACAAACTCGAGGACCGCAGTAAAGAGTGCAGTGTTTCTCTTGGAGTCTATAGATGCAGAATCAGATAAATGTGTCTGGAAATTAGCAGATGTAAAGGAAAACAGAGATCCCGAAAGCAAAGGCAGACCGTTAAGCCGGAAACAAAAGGACCTGAGAATCACACTGCCTTTCACAGATCACAGGAAGATAAATCTCTACCTTGATTAGATAAGTTGAAGTAGAGTTGCTAGCAAAGGAAGTCATTGTCACTGAGAGTTTCACATTGCTGGCTGTTTCTGGATAATTTTTCTATCCCAGTAGACATATCTTCTCTAAGCTTACTAGTTCACACTAGGTTGCGTTTGATATAATGGTCTAGATAAGTGACTTTTGTATCAGTTGAGATGGTCAGTGAGGTAATAAAACATATGACAAAAATTCACACTACTAAGATTTTGTGAAATGTGAATAGGCAAAAAGCTGACTAACAGACAATATCAAATCTTATGAATATCATAAACTACCATCTTCAAACATTGCGCCAACAGGCTCTAACTTCTTGTATTCCCTTTCTTCTACCGGTTTCATAACGTATGGACCATCTGGTTCATCATAGGGCTTTGAGGTTCGGTATTCCCTCTCTGTTATCGATCTTATACCGTCTGGATCTGATTCCACTTCATCTTCTTCATCGTCATCTTCTTCTTCCATGTCATCCCTTGGAGGATATCCTCGGGTTTGTGCCTGCAACCATTGATCGACAACCCCACACTCAATTGCATATCTTGCTGTGCGTTCCAAGTACCCTTTATCGTTCATAAGATCTGGCTGAACCGTAAGCATTCTTATTAGACCTGTAACAGAGTATAGGTCAGTTAATAGCCAAACATAACTTTCCAAATGCTACGGACAAAAAGACACTGCAACAATCTACCTGCAACTATGCCATCTCCAGATGCTGACATATCCCTCGTAAAAGGAGTAATGGGAGGATCCTCCATTCCGGAAACAGCACCATTGTGCTCTTTAGTGTAGTAATGGATCTTAGAAGTGCCATTGGTCACAAACAAAACCTTGAGATTTTCATGCCAAAGCTGTTCCACAGTTTCAGGCGGATAATGGGCAAACTTACTGATGTCATTGTTTTTTGTATCGAATTCTTCAGTTGGCTCGATTCCGCATAAGAATTCAAGTTCCTGTTTTGTTATTTCAATTACATCTGCAAGATTCCACACTTCCTGTATGAACGACTTGGTTTCTTCGCTGGACTGCCATAGCGGTAAAGGGAGATTCAAGTCAAAGAAAACGATATTGCCTAGTTGCTTTGATATCTTGATGGCTTGTATCGTAGTTGACATCATCTTCTTATCGAGCAGAGAATGCGAGCTGAAGTAGAACATTTTCGCCTGAACCAAAGTTAATAGGAAGAGATAAGGGAACGAGAAAAAGAGTTCAATAATTCAATGTTTCAAATCTCCAAGAAAGCATTTACCTCTTTGAGCACATCAACATTGATTTCAGATTTTGAAAGTGAATCCTCTGCACAAGGCTTGATACAAGTCGATTTCAAGCGACCTCTCTTACTGATCTTCATAGTAGAACATGCTGTGACCCTTTTACCATCAATCCGAACTGATCTCGTTTGGACTTTGCACACATTCAGGTAATACAACATGGCTTGACCATACTCATCATCCCCGAGTTTGCCCATAAAAGCAACATTACCACCTAAGCTTGCAAGAGCAATAGCTACACCTCCTGCACATCCTCCAGGAGCCCGGATATACTTCTCTGGGGCCCATTTTGCATCACTCATCCGTTCATGTAGTTCATAATCTAAAAGCCTGTTTGCTGGCCTTCCCCAGGGCACAAAAGCATGTTGTGCAGATCCAAAGCAGCACACAAGTGGAGGCCATCCATATGTGTGACTAATATCCTCACTTTCATGTTTACTCAGATCAATCTCTTCTCCTTCACTTTCGGTATCAGTGCTTTCAACAGCCAAGGCTTCCTCGGCATCACTACCCTCATCATATGAACTAGTATCTAAATCATCCTCCTTTTCCTTATCTTTTTTAGTAGTCCTCTTTCGTCTCACCTTCTTCTCGGGTTTTACTTCCTCCACATCAGAAGAAGAAGCTGCTACTGCAGCTGCAAATGTGTAGAATTCAAATTAGGCTCGTGAAACACCAAGTGGGGACATCAGATAAGAAATGGAAAAATTCATACCTTTCTTTCTAGTTCTTGTCTTTGGTTTCAAAGCTGACACACTGCTTTCCTTGTCTAAACTATCACTATCTACCAAAAGTTCAGAGCTTTCTTCTAATGGTTCATCCGTAGCTACAACCTTCTTCTTCGTTGTTCGAGCACCGCCTTTCTTAGGACCTTTAGATGATTTCTTTCTCCCAACCGCTCCATTTCCATCATTATCTCCTTCTTCTTCAACAGGTGCTGACTCTGATAACTTTTTCCTACCAGCAACCATAGAAAATCTTTGTTTACCATTCCATCTTTCACCTCTAATCTTCACAAAACCAAGTGACTGAAGGAGACAAGGAACATCTGCATTGTACCTGCCAAACTTAACCACAGCTATGAGAAAACCATAACTTTAAACAGAAACACATGTCTTTCCACTAAAATTGAACAAAAAAATGGCAAAAACGAAGTGATTCAAATCATTTTCACTCATTCTCTTGTAGAAAGATAACAAGAGCACAACTTTAAAGTTCGCACATTTCTGGGCAGCAATGTAATTCTATGCCAAATCCACAGAAACCCATGGAAGCAAACTTTCAAGTATCAGAAAACACAAGAGGGAGAGAAGCAAACCTAGGGAACGATAGGAATTGGGTGAAGGAGAGAGACGCCATGAGCATGAAGTAAGAGCTCTATCCAAAAAGCGAAATTGTACTGAAACTAAGGTCCGCAACCCATAAAGTCGAAAGAAGCTGAGACCCAGAAATCAACTGAGAGAGTTGCCAATAAGTTAAATCAGAGAATTGAGGGAGATTGGGGTTTAAGCTCTCAAAACCTGCAAAGAGGCCTTAGCGGGAGAGAGCTGGGAGAGGATGAGGGAAGAGGTTTAGCGCTTTGATAAAACGGCACGCGTTCTATGTCAAAATATGAAAACGTCATGACGTTCCTTATTGTTTTTTTTTCTTTGGATCCGTCAAGGTATCTTGAGGCCCTAGGCCCAGCATGGAGATTAGTTTACGACCATCTTACCCAATTTTTTGATAATTTCACTAACATAATTTGTGTATATTTATGTTTTAATTTATATTTCATTTGCTTCATATTATTGATATTTTTATTAAAAAGTAGAATCTATAAAAATTTAAATTTTATGATTATTATGTATAAACTGGGAAATAAATTCTGTAAATTAAGTAATTCCTTAATGATTTAGTAGGAAATCATGTATTTTATTAAAGGTTTCTTAAACACAAGTATGTGATAATGTTGATATTTAGGAGTTTTATGGTAATTTATAACAAATAAAATGTAGTATAGACAGTAAAATTTATTGAATGAAAAGTAAATGATGTATTTTCTTCATAGAAAATTGTTACAAAAAAAAAGGGAAAACAGAGGTCTCAGTATCTTTTTCTATTTTAATCTATATATATATAGAGAGAGAGACTTACCTAATTGTTGATAATTAGTATAAAAATGTTATATCACTTATACAACATCAATTTTGTTTTCAAAAATCTTGTTTGATAATTAATTGATTTTATAAGCGAGAGAGAAATTGAAAAAAAAACGAAATGTGAGCGAAAGACGAGCAAAACATAAGCAAATATATTTATATTTTGAAATGGTAGCAAATATATTTATATTTCGTTGCCATTGATGACATATTTTGAAAGAAGTTCATGGAGAAACCTCTACCGAACTATGACGTGGGTACGCACTTGTTATGCTACCATTTTCCTTGGAATCGGCTCCTTATAAAAGGACGCAACAAAGAGGCGATCACGGTTGAAGAAATTGGAATACCCCGTTTTACGAGACGCTCTCCCAGCAAAAGCAATCTGAAGGAGTGAAGTGAACACTCTCACTCAGTTGTAATTTACATATATTCTAGTCGTACTTATATATTCTATTAGTTGGGTATTTAGTTATTATCTGAAACAACGTCAAAAAAATTTTTATTAAAAAAGATTGTCCTTCAAAGATCTAATTTTGTGTAATGCTTGATTAGAGTTTATAAGAGTTCAACATTTATAAGTTGTGATCTTAAAGTGAGTTTATATATCTATATACCTCAACGAAAGTACTGGTTTTGTTGCTACTACTCCCATAATCTATATATATAAATTTAGTTTTTTCTCTCTTCTCATGATGCCACCTAAGCATCCACCTAAGCCACATTTTTTTATATTAAAATAAATTTAAAACATTCATTTAGTGCATATATATGCTACTTATTTAATTAATAGAAAATTTATATAAATAAAAATAAATTATGTAAATAAACGAAATTTTAAATAAGAAATACTTTCATTTTTTATTAGTTAGTGGTATTAATATAATTCAACTTTCATTTTAAATTGATCATAGTTTAAAATTTATATGTGTTACTGAGTTTAAGAATGTAAGTAAATTTTAAGTTTATGGTAGAATAAAAATAACATTTATGTAATTGTATATATAAAATTTTAAAGGGAAAAAATAAAATTGAAAGTGAAATATTAGTTTATAACATGATCAATAAGAAAATGCTTTTAATCAAAATTTAAATATTGAAACATAATAATTCAAGATAAAATAACTATAATATGTTTTGAAAATCAATTAAAAAATAAATAAAATATCACAATATGAATAAAAAATTAACAAAAAAATTATAAAACTCCCGCGCTCAACTGCTACTTATTTCTGTGGTAGTTTTATTATGTTGTTGATGAGTAATTGGTTCGTATTTTATTTCTTACTTATTTTTTTTACAATAGCATACTTTATTTTTTAAAAATATTAGTTTGTGTTTGTATAGAAAACCTGTTGAGTTTTAGCTTCGTTAGTAGTTGAGAAATTAAACGTGTATAATATAGATTGATATATGAGTGTAAACAGAAGTGCAGTGGAGAATCATAAAGAAACATGTGTTATTAGGATTCCTACCAAATATAGACCTATATGTTAATATTGTGGTCCTTTTTAATATATTGGGCTGAAAGTTAAAAATGATTTGTGGGTTTCAAGCGGATTATTGTATTTTTTATTGGTTACATTATCCTTGTATATTGTCATAATTTAATTTTTTGTTTTTTCGTTTCTTTTTTTTTGATTTGACGTAATTTATATCTCGTTATGATCATTTTTATACTATTATATATTTGTTTCTGATTTTCTGTTTTATATATTTTTCATATATTCATATGGAACAAATTTAAAATTTAACATATTAGTATAATTTACTTTATATTTAGTTCATTTCATTTAATTATGTTTTTTGTTTTAATTTTCAATTTTTATGAAATATTGTTAATTTTTTGTTTTGTTTATTAGTTTACCATATTTGTTGTAT